CAATATTGTAATTTTGTAGTAGTCAAAGCAAAGTGAATATCAAATTTCAAAAGTAACTGGAAATCACAAGTGTCAATAGTGTACTAATTGCTTCTTGAAATAATGATGACGTGATAATAATCAATTAATTGTAGTCCATATAATTGTTAATAATATTAGATTGTTCAAAACTTCAATGAATAAATAATCACAAATTAAAATAATTGGACCTAATAATAATACTCAATTCCTAAAGCATAATTAATGTGAATGCTAATTCTGATGTAATAAACAAATTCAACTTCGTGACTTCTTCTGAAAGCTAAAGTGTAAACTAAAGTAAAAACCAAAATTGTAACAATGTCAAAATCTAAATCAAAGATGAACATATTGAATTTCATTGGATGGTAATGAATAATAAGTAAAGCCTGATGTAAAATCAATAACCAATAAAACTTTCAATTAAAACTTTTAATTAACGACTTCATGAAACAATAAACAAATCAGATTTCATTGCCAAGTTGTAAAGCTAATAAGATAATTCACTTCTTTGAATTCTGAAAGTTGTAAAAAATTGATCATAATATAATTGATATAAAGGTAATGAGAATGGTAATCAAAACAAAGCATTGCTAACTAATAAAATGTTCGAATAGTAGATGAGTTTCCATTAAGTAAGCTAAACTGAATAATGAATCAACAATGTCAAATTCAAAGGGATAGTAAATGAAAGGGAACCTCCTGACCAATAATCAATAACAAATAATGAATAATCAATAATGCAAAAACGAATAATCAGATGTCAATAAGCAATAAATGAATAAGTCAATGGGCAATAATCAGTAATCAATAATGAATAGTCATAATCAATCATCAGTAATAACGAATCCATAATCAATAATCAATAATGAATAGTCATAATCCATCATCAGTAATAAAGAATCCATAAGCAGTAATCAAGAATGCAATAACCAAGAATTAATACTCAATAATGAAATAATCAATAAGTAATAATCAATAAGCAATAAGCAATAATCGATAATCAATAATCAATTGTGAATGTCAATAATAAATAATAGATAATCAATCATTAATAATAAATAATGCAATAATCAAAAATCCATAAGGAATAAGTGGTGATCAATGATCAATAATGCAATGAGCAAAAATCAATAATGAATAATGTATCAATCACTAAAAACTTTCTTCTGAGCTTCAACAATTTTCAATAAGATTTCCAAATAAATGTAAGTATGCTAACTCTTGAAGTACTAGTTTCTGCAACAAAATAAAATAAAACGAGTTCTGCGAATCCAAATCCATCAATAATGTGGTTGTCGCTTTTGACTCTGTACATTTGAGATATTAATCTAATGATACTTTGCCAACAATAACTGAATCAAACTGGACATTTCTTTGTGACTCTTCGAAAATGTTATGTATATGTGGCCTATAGTAATCTTGATAATCTTCAAATATGTACCAATTAAACATGAAAAAAATGTGAATGAATAACTAACTCTTCAATGATAATGTAAACGTCAACAGTAATTCATAATATAGTAGTATATTCACTTTCTTCTTCAATTATTAGTTTCAAACAAGAAATAAACTTCAGCTGAAAAAAAATTGTATGGAAGTCCACATGGTAGCTCTTCCAATTTGTATGTACCATGGTAACTCTGAATAATTCTGCAATCCAATAGGTGTGATTCATAAGATAATCCACTTAATAGAACAATTTCTTCTGCCAATAATAATGATAATATTTCAAACACAGTTGTACAATGTCAGGTTCAACTTCAATTAAAATAATGATTCAACTGTAATTTAAAAATGTAGCAAATCCTGAACATGCAAATAAGTAAAATATTGATGATTCAATGAAGACAATGTGGAAATAATCAATAACAATAAGGGAGCAAGTACCAAGCTGGGAATATGATGATGTATATAATGATAACTCAATGAAAAACTACTGAAACTCAATAAAGATAACATGAAAATAACCAATAAGAATAATATGATAACCGTGAAATAACTGCAATGAAGATAATATGGACATGACCAAGAAGGTTAATAATGATAACTTCAATAAAGGTAATATGGAAATAACACATGAGAACAATATGATAAGTACCAATGAAAATAAACTTGTAATGAGCTTCAATAAAAGTAATGATTCCTCAAACACTGGAGATGACAAAGACAAATAATGATTCTTCAAATAAACTTCAAACAAAAGTAGTGATGTTTCAAACATTGGAGATAACAAAGACAAATAATGGTTCCTGAAAAAAATTTCATAATGGTTCAAATGTCACTAATAGTTGTAGATGATCTGAAACGATTTGTAGTTGAAGACAAGGTGAAACAATTTCTAATGTAGTGGTCGAACTATTTGAGCAAATTGAGATATAAATTCATAAATACAGAAGAGATTCAATAAAATTTCTCATTCCTCTTGGTGATGGTGGTGATGGTGGTGGACATTCCTATATTGATGTTGTATGACATTCCCGTCATTTTGCACTGCTTCAATATCGTGATCCTTGACGTCAAATAATAATAAGTTAAATATTGATAAACAAAACGAGTATCAATAAAGCAATGGGCAATAAACGAAAACAGGTGTAAAGGATAAAACAAAACAAGTGTAACGATCGGATAATAACAGGCAATAGGGTCTCATCTCACAACGATAATACTTCAAGTTCACAAATAGGATATCAATATATAAGGTCTGTATCTGAATAATGAATAAATGCTCAATCAACGAGTGGTAATAGGTTCTGGATGTTAGCTAAAACTTCACTAATTCTGGTAACTCATCCAATGAATAAAATTCAAATCATCAAATCAAGTAACTCTCCAACGTATGTAAGGTTTGTTCAATAATATCAATGTTTTCCAACATAATTCTCCAATATATACAAGCTTTGTTCAATCATGTCAATGTTCTTCAATATCATTCCAAGTAGATAATAAATTATTCCAAGTAGATAATAAATTCTATGATCAATTTCCAAATAATAATTTCAATGTATTCACAGTATAATATCCAATAATCAATGCATTTATTGTTCTCCAAACAACTGACTCGAAAAGTAACTGGTTCTTCAAATGCCAAATAAATCTTTTAATTGATAATATCAAATAATCCACAGTAGTTGTTGTAAAGTTAACTAGTTCCAATATAATTATAATGCATCTGACACAATAATATTAGATAGATTCCGATGTTGAATAAGTTCTTCTGGGGAGGAGGGTGGGATAATAAACAAGTATAAATCAATGATGATATAACAATAATCTCACTCTTGGATCAATAATGTTCGAAATTTCAACCAATTCTCTAGTCTTGATAATGCAAAATGAAGTTCCCATCTAAGTTGATGAATACTAATCCTTACTTCAATTATCTCAATTGTAAAATATTCCAATTCTATTCAGTATAATAAAGTTGCTTTCCAATGATTGCAAAAACTTGATCTTGAAAAAAATACTCAATTCTCCAAAACAATGCTGCAAAATCCACAAAAAATGCGCGAATTGGTTTGACTTTGAAAAAAATCCAAATTCTAAGATCTTCAAAAAATAATTCTTGCTCGAAAAAAACAATTTCCTAATTAGGACAAAAGCACGCCAATTCTATTGACAAAAAATTATGGCTTTCCTTCTGAATTCTGACAATGATACGGGGGCAAAATTTGTTGATTATTTTCATCGAAACCGATTCCCCAACAATTTGCCTTGTAAAAAAAATTTGCCTTCAAAAATGTAAATCTAATAAACTCTAATGATGTCTCTCTAAAAAAATCTAACCTGCGGGCTACCAAAATGTAACGGAGTGGATATATATTAGATGCTATATACACGACGTTACCTAAAAAAAAGGGGAAAATAAGTTGTGAAGGGGGTTGAAGTTTAGGCAATACGATGTTATAACGGTAGTTCTTCTGTAAGGCATAGTTTATAGATAAAATATTAGTTAAAATATTAGTTACTTCCAAATGTTCCGTTGTAAATCGCAAACCCAGGAAATCCGGCCTCTTATATATCGCAGGGAATATACACATCCTGCACACAGGGAGTTTACACGTCCTGCACCTAATGTCTGTCAACCTCTTGTTTTTCTAGCCCACTAAATCTCAAGCTACCTGCATATTGGTGTGATATCCACCCACAACATCAAAAAAAATTTTAGCGGCCGTTTTATAATGAATTTTGGTCAGAACGAAAATTCTGTTTCTAATGGGTTTATTGGAGAGTTATGGATGTCTATATCTTTCTAGATGGCACATTATGTGATTAAACTTGTTTTGGAAGTTCTCTTATACGTCAATTGTGTGGAATTTTATGGGTTTTTATTATCTGAAGATTTTGGTAAAAATCTCAACAAAAAAATATATTTATAGAGGTTTTTAAAATGGTTGCAAACTTATAAAAGGTCGAAGAAATATCACTAATGCTTGCTTACTTATACTAAAAAGTTTTCTAGATACCTTCAGATTGCTATTGATACCCAATATCCAGCTCAATTAATCATTCCTCTGATACAGGTTATTATATCTTCTAAAATTTCTTGAAAGATGAGGTTAGTAAAATACTTACAAACTTCTAATGGTAGCCAAAGAGTAAACAGCATTTCATAAGTCATTAACCACTTCAGAGTATAGTCATTAAACCCATTCTACACTTACCCATCTTAAATAGTTTTAGTGTTGATGATTAAGATACATACTATCCCACTTTACCTATCGCCCTTCTCTGTTGTTGTTGGTTTCCCCCAACCATCGCATCTTTTCTTCTTACCATACAAATTTTTTTGCAGCACAAGAGAAAAAACTCAAATTCAAACTCATCATGATCATCATTTAACCACATTTACTTTTGACATCAACTTATAATTTACACTCGCTTTTTTCAATTTATAGTTAATCTAAAGACTTAGATGTACATATAGTAATTAATTACACAGAACCAACACAAACAACACACACACACTCACACCCACATCCATGATACGACATACATCACTCTTACGATCATTTCTACCTTTTCATAAAAGAGTTGTTTCTTTATCATCAACAACTTCATTAAGATATTTGTCATCCAATGAGCAAGCAAGGGTCAATCTAGTAGGGATTCAATATCTATCAGAGAGTTTACATAAGAAACTTTTTCCAACCACTGGTATTTACGATTATAAAAAACAAGAAGGTAGTGAGTTAGGAAATATAGCTCAGGAACATCTTGAAAACAACGACTTACTTGGGAAGAAAACTCAAATAACAGAACCAATAACAATTAATAGTTTTCCTGACCTAATAGGGAATTCACTAGATGAACATTTTAATAAATTAGGACAAAGATCCTCGGAACATTATAGATTGATGGCAAATGAATTCTTTCATAAAAAGAATAACATTCCTCCATTACCCCAGGAAGGTACTTGGTTATTTCAACCTGGTTGGACTAGATATACTTCATCAAAACAACCAGAACTGGTACCGCATCCATTAGAAGATAGTCTAGTATTTGATGTTGAAGTTGTTTATAAAATATCAAACTACCCCGTGCTTGCCGTCTGTGCTTCTTTAGACGCTTGGTATGGCTGGGTCTCTCCTGTACTTATGGATATAGCCAAAGGGAAACAAGGTCCTGAATTGGATTGGAATCATTTGATTCCTATGGATTGTGCCACCAAGAAGAAATTAATCGTTGGATATAATGTCAGTTATGATCGAGCAAGAATATTGGAAGAATATAATATAAAACAAACCAAAGCATTTTATCTAGATGGGATGGGACTTCATGTTGCAATTAGTGGTATTTGTTCTCAACAGAGACCGACATGGCAGAAACATAATAAGCTGAAAAAAATACGACAGAATCAAATTGATAATGGTGAAGATGACGAATCTGTAATATCCACAGCTGATGATATCGTAGCTGATATACAAGCTCAACTTGAGAATGATCCTTGGTTAGAAAAAGGTGCCCCAAATTCATTGGCAAATGTATATGAATTTCATTGTAATTCAAAATTAGATAAAACCGATCGTGATTACTTTAGTACAGAAGAACCAAAAGATATAAGTGATAATTTTAATAAATTGATGCATTATTGTGCTAAAGATGTTGAAGCTACTTATAAAGTATCTAAAAAATTATTCCCCATTTTTCTTCAAAGAGTACCCCATCCAGTATCATTTGCAGCATTACGTCATATGGGGACTTTAATATTACCAACTTCGACTAAATGGGAAGAGTATATTAAATCAGCAGAATCATGTTATGAAGAGAATAGAGCCAAGATGATGAAAAATTTACAAACAAGAGCAATGGAATTAATCGAATATATCGAAAAAGATGATCCTTCCTTAGAACCAGAACACGAGACGGACCCATGGTTAAGTCAATTGGATTGGACATTAAAAGAACTAAGGATAAAGAAAGATGGAACCCCTTGGGCAAAACAAGCATATTTGACTGGATATCCAGAATGGTATCGAGATTTATTCAAAACCAGGAAAGATAAAATGAATGTCTCTTTAAGAACAAGAGTGACTCCGTTATTACTAAGATTAAGATGGGAAGGATATCCATTGTTTTGGCACCCAACTGACGGTTGGTCTTTCAAAGTCCCATATGATGAACGAGAAGCCATAGAAAAGAAAGGGTATACAGAGATATCAATATCAACGAAGACTCCAGAATTGTTTCAAGCACTTAGACCAGCGGGGAAAACTTATCATTTATTCAAAGTCCCTCATCCTGATGGACCTGCCAAAAGATGTACATCGATCTTATCTAAACAATTTGGTCGATTCTTTGATGAAGGTACCCTAACTTCAGAATATGAATATGCACTGGATATTATTTCTCTAAATAATGAGGCGTCATATTGGATGGGGAATCGAAATCGAATAATGGGTCAATTCGTGGTTTATAATCAAGAAGGCAAGAATAAATTCTTTAAAACCAAGAAAGATCGATTAAAACATAAAAATATGGGTATCATATTACCCCAACTCGCCTCAATGGGGACAATCACCAGAAGAGCCACCGAAAACACCTGGCTTACTGCCTCGAATGCCAAAAAAAACCGAATTGGATCTGAATTAAAATCATTAATCCAAGCACCAGAAGGATATTGCTTTGTTGGAGCCGATGTCGATTCTGAAGAATTATGGATTGCCTCCCTAGTTGGAGATTCTAAATTTGGAATCCATGGTGGGACCGCATTAGGTTGGATGACATTGGAGGGGGAAAAGAGTGAAAAAACTGATTTACATTCCAAAACCGCCAGTATTTTAAATATATCCCGTAATCATGCCAAAGTTTTCAATTATGGAAGAATTTATGGTGCTGGGGTTAGATTTGCCGCTAGGTTATTAAAACAATTCAATCCCGATATCAGTGATCAAGATGCTGAGAAGACTGCGATTACATTATATGCCAAAACCAAAGGACAGAACGGATATTTGCCAAAGGACGAAGGGAAAGAGGGAGATAAACAAGAATCAACGAAATTCAGAGGAGAGAACGGATATTTGCCAAAGAAGAAAGGGAAAGAGGGAGATAAACCAAAATCAAAAAGATTATATTTCGGAGGATCGGAATCGATTATTTTCAATGCTCTTGAAGGGATTGCGATGCAGGATGAACCAAGGACTCCAGTATTGGGGGCGGCGATTACTGACGCGTTGAAAAAAAAACATTTAAAAGAAAATGGGTTTTTGACATCTAGAACCAATTGGACAATTCAAAGTTCCGGGGTGGATTATCTTCACTTATTAATTGTTTCCATGGATTATCTTACGGAGAAATATAACGTAGATGCAAGATTAGCAATTACGGTGCATGATGAATTGAGATATCTCGTGAAGGAAAGTGATAAATATAAGGCAGCATTATTATTACAAATCAGTAATATTTGGACCAGAGGGATGTTTTGTGAACAATTGGGTATAAAAGAAGTTCCACAATCTTGTGCATTTTTCTCGGAAGTTGATATTGATCATGTCTTAAGAAAAGAAGTCGGTATGGAATGTGTAACCCCATCCAATCCGGTTCCAATCCCACCTGGTGAATCTCTTAATATTGGAAAGTTGTTAGAATTATGTGATCATGGATCAATTTTGGATGAAAGTAGTAAACCAATATCATTTGAAGAATACACTTATGAAGAAAGACTGCCGGTTATTTTTGCATTAGATAAAGACTTGCCGGATGATATCAAGACAATAAAGCTTGAATTGGAAACTGCTGTAGACGAGAAAGAATTTAAGAAGATAATTCGGGAGAAGCTTATGACCTTAAGCGTGGAATCAAATAAAGCTATTTCTCTTTAAGTAGATTATGAAATTTTTGTAACAATAGACCGTATAAATATATTTCTTTATCTCACGCGCCATCTGTATTTTTATTCAAAACTTGGCTGTCCTCAAGGCGAATGCCTCGACACATCCTGATTCTTGGATGTTACATACATTGGCTTCTCTGAGTTTGTTCTGAGCCTTATTGATCACATCTTCCTTGTCCCAGATCTTGGTTAGTTTCATTGCGTAGGAATACTACCCCAGGTTAAAAGGCAAGAAGGTGAAACCATGCATTGAATTTCATAATTTGTTGCCTTCCTTCACAAGAAATAAACGTGGAAAATATTTTAGACTTTGTTTGCAGTTTCAAATCGCTTAATGACTGTTATTCAGTCATACTATAACATCAGGAGATCTTGCAAGTAAAGCATCATTCATATTGGTAATTTTATCCGGTATATTCGATGAGTAATGATTCACCAGTCATCCCAAATTTCAATTTTCCATTGTCCTAATGTCAAAAGAAAAAAATGTAATGTTGCAACCGTGCATTAAAAAATAAATTTAAAAGTTTATTTCCAAATTTAGAAAATGACTTCATTTGGAGTTTTTCCTCCAATTGATCCGAAATATAAATTTTCATTTCTTTTCCCACTATTTCATTTCACTTTCTTTTGAGTATTTCAAGAATAGGGAGTTCATGTCTCAGATGTATATAACTTACTGATAATAACCTCCCCCTACCACCACGACCACCCCCTATGATATTACGATGAAACTGTATCATCCTGATAAGTTTTACTTATCTCTTCTATCCAACCATCATCATCATTTCAGTAGATGGTTACCCAAATTAAAATATAAATTATCCAAGATTAAAGAATTAAAGTATAAAATAAAACATAAGCTACCATCACCAAGATCAACCAAACTGCAACTAGATCAAGAAATAACTACAACTGAGAAAATTTGTATTGATTGTGTTGACAAATATCCTCAAGATATCAAATATCCATTCCTGGATTCGAATTCATGTATGCTTATAATATCCCATGATCCAACCCCATCACCCATTGAACCTGTTAGTCCAATGACTTTCCCCGAAGAAGAAGAGACAGAAGTAGAGGAACCTGAGCCTCCTCCTCCACGTTCTCCTAGAACTCGTGCCAGATCGCCGCCACCAAGATCAAGGTCGCCACCACAACCAATTTTGTATAAATCTCAACTCAACCATCTCAGAGCGATACGGCAAGAACCAGAAGTGTATTTCAGTGTTAGTGAACAGTATAGACTTAATAAGAATACATTTGCTAATTATTATCTTATAGATAGACGAGAGTATTTATGTCGTGATTATGAGGAATATCTCATACCTGAGATTGAAAGATTATATAATATGAACAGGAGGATTGATATTGGGATTAGAATTGTTCAGGGTTTGACTATTTTGATAATTGGTTTGCAGATTGCTAGATATTTATAACACTATTTATTTATTTATTTATTCAATTATTTCTATGTATAGAATTAGAATAGCATATAATAGAAGATTCTTTTAGATTAGTATGGCAAATGGTTTGAGACATTACTCTACTTTCCTGGGACTTGTAATCCCTTTTGAACATAAGCCTCTTGGGAAAAGAAGTATTTAATAGATTATTATTCTAGATCCCCAAGTCTAAATCTCTGGGACTTTAAATCCCTTTTGAACATAAGGCTCATTCGAAAAATTATCAAACCATTTCCCAACCAATGGCCAATCATGAATATCAATATCCAACCACTTCAAACTATTAGCCCAACCAATCAAAGAAAAATCAGCAATTGAATAATGATTACCAACAAGATATAATCCATTCTCCTTATTTCTTCTCAAAATCTCTTCATAAACCCCATAAATCCTTTTCGTATCATTTTTATATCTGTTAATCCCATATTCGATCTTTTCAGGAGCAAACACAGCAAAATGATTCGCCTGACCCTGGATAGGACCATTTTCACCCACTTGAAACATCAAATATTCAAGCTGTTTCCAATATTCCGGCGTGCCTGGTTCATAACTGAATTTTCTCTCCTTGTCATAAGTTTCAGCAAGATATTGTAAAATAGCACCAGTTTGAGAAATGGTGAGGTTGGTGTTTGGATCAACAATAGTAGGGATACGTCCGTTGGGGTTTAGGGTGATGAATGGTTCTTGTTTTTGGACACCGGTACTGATGTCGATTGGGTGGACATCATACTTGATATTCAAGGCTTCTAAGAAAATGGAGATTTTGAATCCATTGGGAGTACCCCAGGTGTATAATTGAATAGCTTTTAAGACTGATGACATTTTTGTTAAATTGTTGACTTTGTTGATTTGGAATTGGAATTAAGATGCAATTGGGATTGATTTGACTTAACTGAGTGAATTATAAATAGTAAGTCGCATTCCATCCTTGCTGTTGTAATTTCATTCGTACTCCTTATATTTTTTCAGGCTTACGGCCGTACTTCCTATTTAGGAAATATACTTTCTTCGAGATTTCTTTGACATAATTTTAAGTATGCACAACTGACAATTGAATTACCATAGATTCAGCAAGGGTAGATGGACAAGTAAGGTTCAAAAATACTGGGGGGAAGTGCGGTTTTGCCCCATTTCATACCTGAGAATGGAATGTTACACGCGGTCATCACAATGGCCATGTGAATGGATATGAAAACGGCATGAAGTATATTCAGCATAACAAACTATCAAACGTCGAGGACTCAAAAAAGCGTATAGGGATAATGATCAGTCAGATCACCAAATGGGAAGAATTGTTTATTAATTTTACAAATTCTTCTATGAATCATCAAGAGAAGCTCTCGTGGAAATTCCCCAACTTGGTCTGCGGAAGTTGATAAATGTGAAAAACATGGAAATGCATAATACAGATATTACTTTTCCTCACTGTTATTTCTCATTTCCCCACTATTTAGGTTAATCGCTAGATATTTATTTGTTTATACCACATACTATTTATTCATTCAATTATTTCTAAATAAATTATATAATTGGAATAGCATTTAATAGATTATCATTCTAGATCCCCAAGTCTAAATCTTTGGAACTTGAAATCCCTTTTGAACATAAGGCTCATTCGAAAAGTTATCAAACCATTGCCCGAGCAATGGCCAATCATGAACATCAATTTCCAATCTCTCCAAACGGCTAGCCCAACCAACCAAGGCAAAATCAACAATCGAGTAATGATTTCCGACAAGATACAACCCATTCTCCTTATTTCTTCTCAAGATCTCTTCAAAAACCCCATAAATACGCTTAGTATCATTTACATATCTTTTAACCCCATATTCAATCTTTTCAGGAGCATATAAAACAAAATGATGAGCCTGACCCTGAATAGGTCCATTTTCTGCCACTTGAAAAGTCAAATATTCAATTTGTTTCCAATATTCCGGTGTACCTTGTTCATAACTGAATTTGCGTTCTTTATCATAAGTTTCAGCAAGATATTGTAAAATAGCCCCGGTTTGAGAAATGGTGATGTTGGTGTTTGGATCAACAATAGTAGGGATACGTCCGTTTGGGTTTAAGGTGACGAAGGGGTCTTCCTTTTGGATACCGGTAGTGATGTTGATTGGGTGGACGTCATATTTGAGGTTTAATGCTTCTAAGAAGGTAGAGATTTTGAATCCGTTTGGTGTAGGCCAGGTGTATAATTGAATGGCTTTTAAGGCTGATGTCATTTTTTGTTAAATTGTGTTGGCTTTAATTATTTCTCTCAGGTGATTATGGAGGGATCAATGAAAAAAATTCAATTGGGAATATTGATTGCTTTAAGTACAATTGAACTGAATTATATTCGTAAGCCACAGTTTATGTAATTTAGTAATTTTGGTTTTTTCTTTGCAATTGGTGAAAAAGTGGAGTCCCCCAGTATTACGCTTAGTTTAAGTTACGGCTGTAATTCCTATTTAGGAAAAACTCAGTTCCCCCGAGGATTTTTTTGACATATTTTCAAATATGCACAATTGAATTATCATAGAATCCAATATGGCTAGATTAGCTTAAAGGTTGTTTAAGACTAACATGGAAGATTCATAAATACTGGCGGAAAGGGTCGGGTTTCCCAATTTCAGAAGCAAATAATGTCAATAATAAGTTGGATCACCAAGTGGGAAGACTTCCTATTGACAATTGTTCACCTGGTCAATTTCTCATGAATCCTCAACAGAAGCTCATGGGAATTCTTGATCTACAGAACTTGACAGAAATGAAACAAGCAGAAGCGGAAAAATCAAACCACCAGATATTACTTTTCCGCACTGTTATCTTTCATTTCCCTACTATTTTGGCAATTGCAAGACATTTATTTGTTTAAAAGCATACTTGTATATTCATTCAATTATTTCTATATAAATTCCATAACAGGAATAGTCTGGAAGTCTGGATATCATATAACTGGAATAGCACTTAACAGTTTATTACTCGAGATCCTTCCTGGGACTTGAAATCCCCTTTGGACATAAGGTTCTTGGGAAAAGTTATCAAACCATTTCCCGACCAATGGCCAGTCGTGAACATCAATATCCAAGTACTTCAAACTATTAGCCCAACCAACCAATGCAAAATCCGCAATTGAATAATGATTTCCAACAAGATATAATCCATTCTCCTTATTTCTTCTCAAGATCTCTTCAAAAACCCCATAAATACGCTTAGTATCATTCATATATCTATTAATCCCATATTCAATCTTTTCAGGAGCATACATTACAAAATGATGAGCCTGACCCTGGATAGGTCCATTTTCGGCCACTTGAAAAGTCAAATATTCAATTTGTTTCCAATATTCCGGCGTACCTTGTTCATAACTGAATTTTCTCTCCTTGTCATAGGTTTCAGCAAGATACTGTAAGATAGCACCCGTTTGAGAAATGGTGATGTTGGTGTTTGGATCAACAATAGTAGGGATACGTCCGTTGGGGTTTAAGGTGATGAACGGGTCTTGTTTTTGAATGCCGCTATTGATGTCGATTTTGTGGACGTCATATTTGAGACTTAATGCTTCCAAGAATGTGGAGATTTTGTATCCGTTTGGAGTTTGCCAAGTGTATAATTGAATAGCTTTTAAGACTGATGACATTTTGTGATTGGCTTTAATTATTTCTTTGGAGATTATGTAGGAATTAGAAACAAAATCATTTGGGAATATTGATTGGTTTAAATACAATCACCGAATTGTAAATTAGTAAGCCATAGCTCATAGTTCGTGTATTGTTTAGGAAAACTATAGAAGAAGTTGAGTCCCCGGATTTGGTATTTTTTTCAGTGGTGTCTACGGCCGTAATTCCTATTTAGGAAATATACTGATCCCCCGAGGATTTTTTTGATAGACCTTTCAATGCACAATTAATAATCATGATCTAGTGAACAGTACTGGAAGAATACGAGAGTTTTATTGAAATTTGTGAGAACAATGAAGTTGGCTGAATAGTGAAAGAACTAGTCCCCGTCTAACATGAATCGACCGAGCGAATGTATATTGGAATTCCGAGATGAACCAAAGTTCAATGTTGTATATAATCTAAGAAGATAGATAGTTGTTCCCCAACCAAATCCCAAAACCTCTAAAGGGAGGATCCACAGGTATTTATCCTCGAGTCCTAAACAAACGGGGAAGGTAGCGGACGAATCGAAGCTTTTCAGAAATCAACTGTAGTGTAACAAGTTACACACAGGAACCACTTCCGGAACTTAGCCATACAACACACTCACTAACGGCCGACGAAAGTCTATAGTCTCCGTGATTACTCCTATCAGGAAGGAGCACATAACCACTCCTTACGGGTAGGATCCTGACGATGGTTGGTTAAGATCGGAATAGTAGTGAATCTCAAATGGAAATGTCAGATACTCGAGGTAAGTCATTGTTTCAAGTTTGGAGATGGAAATTTAATGTTTTCAGAATGACGATGTGGATATCGACATGAAAATTAACAAGGTACCATTAACGAAAACTTGAAATCCTAGAGCGCAGTGTCAACTTTTTGGATGCAGTCGAAGCTGTCGATCTTTAGCTTCTCTATTGGCTATACCTATTACCACAATAAAGTCTTTCCAAAAGTATTTTGAATCATTCAAATCAGATTACCAAAAAAGACAACCATCAATTGGATCACCAGGGAAAAATCGTTTAGAAACATTATTTTGATAAAATGTCGACCCACCAGTTCAACATCTCATTCATCAATCAAATTCCGCAACAAACCTCAATATCAAAACCTTAATCAACTAACCAACCTACTTTGTAATATCAAGGAAAAATGCATAGTCAAACCCCAGATATTAATTCTCATTTTTCCGCACTTTATTATTTACATATTTATTTGTCCCACTTATTTTTCCGCACTTTTCACTCCCATACACGCATACACTCTATTCATCTATGATGGATGCATGCATGTGTAATCTGGATGATCTTAAGCCTATATAATACACTCCGTTATCGTATGATTTATTTTTCGATCTATGATTTCATCGGTCTTTGTTGATTCTTGTCCGCGAATCTAAGCCTAATCCCCCGCGTTGTTTAGCATGTCCTAGTTTTCCATTTAAATTGAATAACTACAATATGGAAAAATAGGTGGCGCTTCTTCCGTCCATTATTGGGCCCATTATCGCCAAAACCAAAACCAAAAACACAGATCTGTATTATTTGAAAGCTATGGCATGATGGGTGGAAAAATAAAAGCGATTATCATCGATACATAGGCATATATGACATGTGGGCAATAAATATTTCATATATTTAGGCAAATAAGAGATCGGCTCGGTTGATATAAAAATTATTAAGGCGTAATTATACCTCTCGTATATCTACTACTACTGGTATTTTCTAGTACACTCTAAGAATTATTATTATTAGGGGGATTAATAAATCTCTGATAACAAGTAAAAAAATGCAAAGAAAATCCTCTTCTTTCGACACCCCAGATCAAGAAAAAAGAAAAGTGATTTATTGGATCTGGTTCACAAAATTAGCTTTTTGCGGAAAAGTCGAACTAGAAACAGAAGATTGAAATATCAGGCGATTTTTAATTTCTGATAGACATTTTGTGACACACAGATATACAGAGATGAAAAGAAATGGCTTGATAGATAGATAGATAGAAAAATTCAACTGGATCGGTATATTACGGACCGGAACAAAGTCCGTCTAGTCAAAGACAAAGAAGATGTGTGGGATATGCCCCTCCCCCGCTTTGAAGGGTTCGCACACATACACACAACTCCGAAGATTATTTTTGAGATGATGATGGAAAGGTGAAGGTAATACGATTTTGTGGAGTAATAATGTAGAATATCCGTGTGGAACTTACTAAGCAAACAATTTGATTGCACGAGGCACAGATTTTGACACATTGTTCGACACGGAAAAAGCAAAAAATGTAAATATTATTTTTTAATTCAGGGCGCGGATTTGTAAATAGTGCTAGTACTAAAAAACTGTAATATTGGGAAGAACGCGGAATAACCAAATGGAGAGTATTTTTTTCTTTTTCAATGTAAAATCGGTGATTTGAGTGGGGTTTCTTTTTAGTCCGACGATTAGCAATTAAATAAAAAAAAAATTCAAGCCGATGGATGGAGAGACACATAGATTTTGAAATAATATATAAATGACATTCAGATTCCTCAAAAATTTTCAAAATTCAAATTCTATTCTTTCTTACTCATCAATAATCTCAAACTAACAGTTTAGATAATAATCTCCAATAACAAAAAGCAACAAACAACAATAATGTCTCAACAATTTACTGATTACGTCAAGGAATCCTTTGGTGCCAAAGCTACTCCAAAAGCCAGAAGAATTCTCACTTCTTTAATCCAACATATCCATGATTTCACCAGAGAAAACCACATCACCGTTGACGAATGGATGTATGGTGTTAATTTCATCAACAGAATTGGTCAAATGTCCGACAACAAAAGAAATGAAGGTATTTTAGTTTCCGATGTTCTTGGATTAGAAGCCTTAGTTGACACTTTAACTCATATGTCTGATAACGCCGGTATTACTTCTTCTGCCATTATTGGTCCATTCTATCGTGAAAACTCCCCAGAATACCCATATGGTGGTTCTATTATCCAAAAAGAAGTTGGTGGTGAAAAGACTTGGGTTAGTGGTACTGTTACTGATGTTAATGGTAAACCTTTGGTTGGTGCTAAAGTTGAAGTTTGGCATTGTGCTCCAAATGGTTTGTATGAACAACAAGATCCAGATCAACCTGAATATAACTTAAGAGGTACTGTTTATACTAATGAAGAAGGTAAATATGCTTTTGTTTGTTTAAGACCAACTGCTTATCCAATTCCATACGATGGACCAGCTGGTGATTTATTACAAATGATGGATAGACACCCAATGAGACCAGGTCATATTCATTGGATGGTTTCTGCTCCAGAACACCATACTTTAGTTACCCAAATCTATGACCGTGATTGTAAATATACTAAAGATGATTCCGTCTTTGCCGTTAAGGAAGATATCATTGTTGATTTCAAGAAGGTTACTGCTGATGATCCAGAATTAGGTGACAAGGGTGTTCTTAACAGATTAGATTACGATATTGTTTTAACTTTAGAAGAAGAAGTTCAAAAGGTTAGAGCTAAGGCTACTGAAAAGCACAAGAACATTGAAGCTGAATTAGAAGCTCACCATAAGGCTGTTGCTGAAAAGTTAGCTAACATGAAGGTTTAAGGATGTTTCAAACAAAGCTGAGAAGTTTAATTTAGTATATAAATTAGGATTTTTCGGATTTGAGCTGGACTTGAGTCTCTTTATTCCCCATTTCTAAACTGTTTGTTAGAGATTACTTATTTATAGTTTATAGTTTATTATTATATATGAAAAATACAAGAAAAATACATTTATATTATTCATCGTTGACCGGTAGTTTCATTTCTATATACTTAAGAGGGTAACTACTCCCCTAATACAGGAAGATGAAAGGGAATCCTTCAGGGGTGCCTGCCATAAGAAGGGAAGCAGATAGTCAGACAGGCAGAGAAACTGGGGAAGATCAAAGGTAGAATTGACAACTAACCGGTTGGATGTCTAGAGTATGACATAAGATTTATTGGACCAACTCCCATTGGTTGAGAATCAGCAAAGGGGGCACCCCATGTATGGAGAATATAGGGCCAAGAACCTAACTTAACCGGAGATGTAGTCGCTTTTTCCTACATACTTCGGTTTGAAGTTCCACTACGTGCATATTATTCTGCCAGCCAGCTATAACAAAGGCTCCTTGCTATTGTTTTATTGAGAATATAGGGCCAAGAACCTAACTTAACCGGAGATGTAGTAATCTTCTCCTAAATACTTTGGTTTGTAGTTCCACTAAGCGCATATTCTGCCAGCTATAACAAAGGCTCCATCATATTGTCTTGCAGATGAGAGAATCACCGAGCCATTTTTTAAAGAGATAATAACAATATCGGTACAAAGCGGAGGATAATAATTAAGTGGCTGGAAAATATTTATATGTATGATTAAAAAATAAAATATTATTTATTTTTTCTGATTTATTTCTCAGATTTCCCCCCTCCCCACATTGCATACATAATAAATAAATAATATTTCTTAGTTATTAACCAGAGAGAGATATTTAACGACATGGAAAGATACACTATACTTGACCAGATCGGCTCGGCCTAAATATTTATACGCATATGCAATGAAATAAAAAATGTCTCCCTTTTGATGCATTTATATCTGCAAAGAATGTATGCTCTTGTGTAATAGAGAGTACATACGGACTAATACAAAACTCATTGTTTACTGCAATGGGGAGATGCATCCGTAAGAACCCCAACATGAATTATCTAAGCATGTAAATACAACTCCGAATTTATAAAGCTCGTGATTATATAGAATAATTAACCATTACAACATATAGTGAGAACTTGTGGTTTTTGTTTTGTGGAAGGGTCCGACCGGAGCTAAAATTAAGGTTGGGGTAAATCTAGTATTTCCGTAAAAATTTGCCCCACTTCCAAGAGTTTATTTTAGGGTCCTCCATAGCTTGGGTGTTTTTTTTCTAACCGTTCTGATTCCTATACTAACAACCAAACAATTGAAAGAGATACACATATATTCAACTAGTTTAATGTCTCCTATTCAAATTGAGGTGATACTTATTATTATTTCAATTGGGCTTAGTAATTAATTTTTGATTTGTGTGTTAAATAAAATATTTTTTAAGAATGACCTGAAAGACATTTTTTATTTTCTAAGCAAAAAAGAAATATTTTTCTTTGTTGAATCTCTCTTTTTTTTTTGTTTTTTTTGGAGACACTTATTAATTAATAATTAGACAGACAGAAGAAGAAGAATAAGTGACCTAAATTATTTTTATAAAAAACTTCCCATCGTAATTTTAATACAATCCAATCCAAACAGTCAGACAGACAATTAATAAATTAATTTTCTTTAATGGAAATTTGTCAATTTTAGATTTGTCATTTTCTAACGGGTTTATTTTTATTTCCATTTCCATTCAGACAGTTTCTGAACTTTGATACATCAAAGACAAAGAGAGAGAGAGTAAACCCATCAGTCAGTCAGACAATCAGACAGCCAGAGAGACAGACGTACAGTCGCACATACATCCAGACAGACATCCAGACAGACAGACATAGTGTAAATAAAGATGGAATCCAAGATTGAACCAAAGACATCCAACATTTCAATAATCAAGAAAGATTCAGTTAGTGATGGTACAACTCAATTTATTACAACTAATGAACCAAGAAAGAAAGTAAGTAAAGCATGTGATTATTGTAAGAAAAGGAAATATAAATGTAGTGGAATTGCACCATGTAATCTTTGTACTAAGAAGAAGATTCAATGTCAATTCAGTAGCATTGATGGTAGAAGTAAGAAAGGAAGTATCACCAGACATCATAACCAACAACAACGAGAACTACAACAACAACAAGAAGCATCAAGAACAACGATGATGACATCCAGTCGATCAAATGGATCAACCAATTCAACTGTAACAGATACAACCAGTCAAATATCAAGACATGAATTACCAATAATGGAAGTATCTCCAGGTACAATACGATATGATCCAACAGTACCTCAACAACAAATGTCAATTGGTCAACAACGAATCTATCCAACTCAAGTTCCATTCCCTCACTATCAAGAATATCAACCATCACAACAACAACAACACCAACTACCACCACCTCCACAACTAAACCAGAATGGAAGAAGCGGATACACACCCCTCCAACCCACCTTTTCATCCATCTCATCAATCAACACCACCACAACAGCACCATTACCACCACCAGTACCTTCCTCATCCCGAATGGACAATACCAATACAACATCCAGTAATAATTCAAATGCAAGCACTTCCATATCAAATCCATCTCCCGGATCAAATGATGGAAGATTAACCCCAGGGGGGTCGGATCGGTATATTCCAAAAAGCTTACAACCTTTGTTATCATTCCCATTAGAGGAAACAAAGGGAGCAGGGAGGGAGAAGGATGATAGTAGTGGCACGACTTCCAATTCAGAAGAGGATGATGAGGCGGAGCCGAATAATAAGACACAGGAAGGTGGTGGTGTGCAGATTGAGAAATCGATTTCGGGGAATAGTCTGAATGGAATAAGAGATGGGGATGAAGTTGTGAGAAAGAGGCGAAGATCGGAATTGAGTGATCATAGTGATAGTAGAAAGCGACAGGAACACCAGCAACAGTCGCAAGAGGTCCTGGGAGGAGGCAGTGGAGGAGGGAGTGTTACTTCCCCAACGGGTAGTACTAAAAGTGCTGGCGCAGCTTCTGAAACATCAGGTCCGAAACCAAAAAAGGGATTATCAAATGATAGAGGTAAAAGCACGAGATTATTATATGATTCAGCCGGTAATCTCCGATACATCGGAGAAAGCAGTCCACTATCCCTCCTATTCGATTGTCGTAACATCTTCACCGCCACCATCGGACAATCAGAATTCACCGGTGATCCTCAGGGGGTAAATATAATCGATGGTGCTGGGATCATAAATCAAAGAACCCCCATGCAATTACCCAAACGGGAACATTGTAATATCATGGTGAAATTCTTTGAAAATAACATAAATCAAACCTGGTACGTCTTCAACATGAAACATTTCAAAGTCTACGTCGTTGACTACATCTATGACAACCCCATCAGGGCTGAACCGGAAAAACTCGCGCTATTACATCTCGTCCTCGCCGTGGGGTTATTATTCGCCGAAAAAGCCCAAAACTACCTCATTGAAGAACTCGAACCCACAAAAGTCACCAGTATGGATTTCTTTGAGAGTGGGTTTAATCTAATGCGAAACATCATCGATGATGGGAAATTATGGCTCCTGCAGGCCTATTTCTTGATTTATTTCTATTATCAATCCACCTCCAAGAGAAGTTCAAGTTGGTTGATGTTAAGTACTGCAATTAGGAATGCTCAGGCGTTGGGATTACATCGAAAAGTCATAAATGAATCATTCCGAGATCAGGATTATATCACCCATAGAAGAAAATTATGGAAGAGTTTATATATTTGTGATCGAATTTCTTCGATTTTATTGGGGAGACCATTGTTGATTAGTGATTATGATTGGGATGATTTTGAATTTGGGAATAATACTATGGTTTATCATGTGGATGGGAGTGTGAATTTGGTAGATACTTGTTTGAATCAAAATGCTCATTTGGCAAGCATATTGGGCAAGATTATTCAACATTTTTATATTGATGGGATTGTTGATTTAAGAAGAGCGGAAAGGATAGCTATTGATTTGAAATTATGGTCGATTAATCTACCGTCGGATGTTCAGATTGATAAGATGTTAGTTGATTATCGTCCTAATCATGCCCCATCGCCTACTGATGAAGCAGTGAGGAATATCAAGCGAGATAATTATTCTTTGTTGTTGATGCATATGTCACAATTATATGGGATTATGTTATTGGGAAAACCGTTTTTCATGTATCAATTATTTAAAAGAAAGAATGAGGCACCGAATTATCATAGTAGGAGAAGTAAACAAGAAGCAATCATGTCTAATTTTTGTTCCGCCAGTATTAAATCTTCAGTATTAATGATTCAATTGATTCATTTTTATAAAGAACATAATCCACAAAGAATGGAACTGTACGTCACCGTGAATTGTTGCTTCAAGGCAGCATTGATACTTGGATTGACGATCTTGTATAGACAGACTAATGAATATGAACCCGATGAATATACTATTGATATCTTAGCCGAGAAATTAATGATTGCGAAATCGATTTTGTTGTTTTATAGTAGTGTTAGTGCCACATCGGCCAGGTTCCATAGTATTATCACCAAGATGTACAAGGCATTAGAAACCGCATTCAGACAACCCAAGAAACAACCCACCACCAAGAAGTCAGAACCAGTGTTCCAACCACAACAATATTCAACATATCCAATGAGAAGCATAAGTGAACACACCCAAATCCCAATCCCAACCCCATTTCAACAAAACGGCTCACCCATGGTCTCAACCCCATTCCTATCACACACCCACTCCCACCGCACCCAACCAGGTGGACATCAACATCCCTTACAACAAGAACAAACCCAAACATCAGACCTAAACCTAGATCAAGGCTTCGAAAGCCCGGAATCCGTCACTTCTAACCCGCCAACACAATTTGCTAGGGGTGCTGGGATTGTTCAATCACAACTCCAATCCCCACTGAGTTTCCCCACGACGTTTGAGATTGCCACCACGAGTGAATTAGAGAATTTGATGAATTTTCAACAGTTTTTTGTGCCTTCAGTTACGAATTCGTTGATGTCTGGACAAGAAGGCGGACGAAAACCACAAGAGAGACGAGAAGAGGAGGGGAATAACAATGGTACTGGTGGTGCGGTTGGTGTGAATGGTGGCGGAGTAGGAGAACAGACGTTGGATGCGTTTATGTATAATATCGGTATTAATGATTTACTTTTTGAAGGAAGTACCCATCTCAACTAAAAAAAACCAAACTTGTATTAATTACTCTATATAAATAATAATTGTATAAATAATAATATATAATGATTAAATGAATTCTTTAATAGCTTTCAAAACTGCCTCATCATCTTCAATAGCAATCCAATGTCCCACATCAAGTTCCACAAGACTCTTATTCGTCAATCCATTGGCAATCTCTTCCACACATCCCGTCCAAGGACTGGTCATATCTTGTTTTCCATAAATTATCAAAACCGGTTTTTCAACTTTACTATAATCAAAATCATAATCCATTCCACTGGCAATAGCATGACAATTGGCAATATATCCCTCCACTGTCTGACTTTGCAAAAGTTGTCTAATATATGATTTCCTGAATCCGGAACACTTATCCCCCGTGGCGGCATTTGGGATATTGTTGGAGAAATCAATTAAGGATGGTTTGACATTCAATGCTTGAATACGGTCCAAGAAAATCTGGGTGAGTTTTGCCGTGGGGTGAACGGGTCCAATAAGGACGTTTTTGATGATGTTGAGTTTGGTGGAGTGGAAGATGTTTATATAATTGACCAACATCCCGGACATTGAGTGTCCAATCAAAACAATTTTGGAGTCCTGGAGTTGGAGTTCATGGATGGTGGAGATGACGTTTTGGGATAAGTCTTCAAGAGTGAGTTTTGGGCGGTTTAATTTGGATTGGTTGGCACCTTCATGATCGAGTAATAAGACGTTGTGGGTGGAGGATAAGGCTGTGGCTATGGAGTAGTAGAAGTTTTGGGATGATCCGAGACCGTGTAAGAAGACCAAGAGGGTGGAGGTTGGGACCGGGGATTTGATTAAGGTGTAGAATTGGTTAGTGGAGGTGAAAGCAGCAATCATTGTTAGGTTGTCTATATCGGTATCAACTATAATCTTAGCGTTTGATAGTATTGGTTATAAGAAGAAGAAGATGAAGAAGAAATCGATGGATTTGATATCTGAGGAATCGTGGGGGATCAACATGAAAATTCCGGAAATGAAAGAAAAATCCCGATTACGGATATTCTCTTTTTGGAAAACCCGGGGTGATGACATTGGTAGCCCCCACAAAAACCAAATCCGCAAACAAATTCGAATGTGTTGATTTGTCAATGTTCCCCTGAACTCTGAAAATCCGTTCCTAAGAGCTTAGTAAGCATTAATCATCATTGTCTTCGGCGATTGGAATCCTTATCTGAATAAAAAATTCCACTGTGGAAAATTAGAAAATCCTATTGTTATCCGATTCTCAACATTTTTCAGTCCATCGAAAAGAAATATCATCAATTTCAATTTTCTTCCTCTTCATATTGAATGAACATATCAAGACTCATATCAACCCGAACCATCCACACAATGACTAACTACTCCCCCACCCTCGCCACCAACACCAAATTCCAAGACTTCGTCGTCTCCTTCTACAAAACCTCCGACACCGCCCCTCCATCATCCCCATCAGTCGACCCATATCTCCAATTCTTCACCCCTGAAGCACCATTAACAATGGCATCCAAACGTGTCGTTGGCCATTCTGAAATCACAGAATTGAGAAAGGGGATGTGGACCTCCGTGACCAAGAGACATCATGTGGTTGAGAATGTTGCTAGTGTTGACGATGAGACTGTGTTGGTGAATGGATATGTTGATTATAGATTGATTAATAACAAGGATATAACTACTGAATGGGCTGCTATTATGAAGTTGACTAAGAGTGAGGAAGGCGAATATAAGATGAAGTTCTATCAAGTGTATTTGGATCCTAGTGTTGCTGCTAAAGCTTTAACTGAATAGATTGAGTATCTCTGTATCTCTTAAGAAGAGAACCTGTGTATAGAGTATAGTGTGTATATTTATTTTTTAATATATGATGGAGTCGTTACTATAACAACCAGCAAAATTATGCATGCTGTCATATTACAGATTGGGTATTTCCGTACTTGCTTGGTAGTGCGTCAAATTGAGTGGGACAAAAAGAAATATAACGGAAATATCTCATCCTCATCTTTTACGGCCCGAATAATTTTTCCATAAAGTTGTTTACGAATGATGAAAAAGAAATCCATATCCGCGATATTACTAATAAACTCCTCCTCAATATAGATACTCGGTGTTATTGAATACCGGAGATACTTTCTTCCTGGAATTATTTTATGATTAATAAATCCTTGTAATTCCTGTTTAAATTATTTCTTAACTTCTGTTTTCTTTCTTCCTACTCACTAGCTATCATCATCATTACCTTTCGCTAAACCAACCAACCTACCCATTATGACTGTTGATTATTCCGCCTTAGAAGAAACAGAAAGAATCTTCTCAACATTAATAAATTCCAATCTTATTCCAGAAGAATTAAAATCCAAAGCAAAGCAAATCAAATTCTATAATGAACGTAAGAACTTAAGTGTCCCATGTCCATTAAAACAAACCGAAATGATCTCCGCCTTAAAGGCCTTAGAAGCAACCGTCGCTCTCGCAATCTCCGAAGAAAGATATGGTAAAACTGAAGATCAATGTAAGATTGATTTACAACATGCTTTATTATTCTTATTCTCCACTTATTGTTCCAGTGTGAATGGGTTTTTCAAGGGGGATAAATATGAAGTTCTCAAATATTTGAAACAAACTGATTTAAACCAAGCACAAAGTGATCCATATCGTAGAATGTCTGCCAATTTATACAGAACAAAAGAGGGAAATAGATATTATCACATTCATGGATCCTTGGAAGCTTCAACTACTTTGAATATGATTGGATTACCAGCTTTTATTCCCGGATTTACTGATTATGAAGCTATTGTGAAGAAATACCAGGATGTTTTGGATGAATATACTTGTGATGAATTAGAAGCTTTGAATACCAAAAATAATCAAGCTGGGGTTGAAGCTTTTAAACCAGAAGAATTTTTACAAACTCCTCATGGTAAGACTATTAGTAATACTCCTGAATATGAAGTTGATACTTTAGAAACCACCACTCCTCCAGTTCCATTTGTTCCAAGTTCTAATAAGAAATTATTGGAAGGAATTAAAGTATTGGAATTATGTAGAATTATTGCTGGTCCTACTATTGGGAAAATCTTAGCTGAATATGGTGCCACCGTTATCAAAGTCACCAGTGATGAAACTTTACCAGATGTTCCATTCTTCCAAGTTGATGGAAATATGGGTAAACATACCACTAATTTAAATTTAAAGAATGCTGAAGATAGAATCAAATTCGAAGCCTTATTAGCTGATGCTGATATTGTTATTGATGGATATCGTGCCGGTGCGATTGAAAAATTAGGTTATGGTCCTAAAAAATTAGCTGAATTAGGTATTGCTAGAGGAAAAGGATATATCTATGGATCTGAAAATTGTTTTGGATTAACTGGAGAATGGTCTCATCGTGCTGGTTGGCAACAAATTGCCGATTGTGCTTCCGGTGTAGCTTGGATTCAAGGTCAATCTTTGGGTAAGGATGAACCAATGGTTCCACCATTCCCAATGAGTGATTATGGTACTGGATGTATGGTTGCCATTGCTATTTTGGTAGCGATTTATAAACGTAATAAGTATGGTGGAAGTTATTGGGCTAAATCTTCATTAGTTCAATATGATTTATTATTAATGAATCAAGGTCAATATCCAAAAGAGATTTGGGAATCTCAAGTGATTAATAATCCTATTTTTGCTGATTTCTTAAAGTTGAATTATTATGATTCAGTTGATAGAATTAGTAATACTGCCTTGAGGGCTTTATTGGTTCAACAACCTGATATTTTAAAGAATGATCATTATTTCACTTCAATGGAATCAGAAGGGTTCAAGGGAACTATTAGAGTTTTAAGACCAGTTTGTGAGTTTGATAATCTTGAATTGGGATATAGATGTGTTAGTAGACCAAATGGTTCTGATTCTCCTGAATGGTGGTAGATCCTTACCATTACCCATTAGTTCATTATTAAATTGCATATTTTCATATTTATTTAAATCAGAGTTATTTATAAAATTGTATAAACAGAATATTATAAACAGAATATTATAAAATAAAATAAAAAAAAGTAACGTTGTATTTTTTGAAATTTAGCTTGTGTACTGCTTGTAGTTTTGTAAGTCTAGACTAGAGAAGATGAGATATCATTTGTCATCAAATGATGTAGTTGAATTATATGTGGAGGAATTACAACAATATTACTCCACTTACTGATTAAGAAGAAAGAGAACAATCTATGAACCCGAGGTATAAGAGAAAGACAAACGATAAACGACAATTGTCTGCCTTGTATTATTTGATAGATATTGTTTAATAGGAAACAATAACCGAATGCTCCATGTTGCCGAATTCATATCTGATTTGAAGATCTACATGTATTTATATTCACAGGTTTAGCCCTAAAATATCAGATCTCCGGAATTACTTACTAAATTAAGAATAACGCAACGTCGTGCGACTGAAACGTTTTAGTACCCGTTGTCTAATAAGGAATTCTCTATGCGGTTCATGTACAACACAAACGCGCGTTTTATGAATTAGCACAGACATATACCATTACACAATATTGAAACAATGTAAATCTAGATCATTCGGAAATGTACTCGGAAAGTACAAAATAATTATTGGTGCCTTATAAGTCATTGTTCTTGTTGCTTAAAAGGGAAATCAACCCCCCCACGTCCGAGATCTACAAACGACTACAAAGAGATCTTACTGTGTCTCTCTCTCTTATTCTTAACATAGCCCCCCCATACTTTGTACTATTCGCTAATTCTTCTATACGAAAGGTTATATGAGTCAAGGCGGAAGAGAGTTTCCTGTCTCTCTCTGTTCCGTCCCTGTCACAACTTTAACTACTTCTTCTTCCATCTTCTATTTTTTTTCTCTTTCTCTTCTTACTTTGTCTCTTTTTTCAAAAGGGTTCATATTCATTTTCCTGTCGTATATATCACTTGACACACACATACACATACACATCCAGACATATTGTTTATCGGTATACTCATCATACAGAATACAAAGCATTCTTCTATTACGTACAAAGAATCAATAGATACAAAGAAAAGCCATTCTCCTCCTCTTTCCCCCAAATTTTTCAATTTCTTTTTTTTTTTTATTCCCGATATTTGAACCGAGGTTAAGTTTATAAAATAAAAGAATAAAAAGACTTTCAATTCCAATTCCATATAATTCATAAGATTCTCCTAACTAGCCAATAAGCTTTTAAAAGAAAATGGATTCATCATCAATTGAAAGAACTAAAGTATCACGTGCTTGTGATTATTGTAAAAAGAGGAAATTTAAATGTAGTGGAATTACACCATGTGATTTATGTTTAAAGAAATCAATTGAATGTACTTTTAGTATAATTGATAGAAGAACTATACGACGTAAGAATAAAAAGAGAACTACTAAGAATAATATCACTAAGAATAAGATTAGTAAAGATGATACAATAATAGATAAACATATCTTGAAGATCTTATCTAAAAAGAATAATATTCCAAAACATTATCAACCGTTACTTACTTTCCCTTTACATAAAGTAGACGCTACAACAACTAAGGATGAGGACGAGGATGAGGATGAACATGAAGGTATAGATGAAGATAGACAAGATCATGAAGAAATCCTCAACAATAACCCCGTCTCCAAACACAATCCAGCTGCAGCATTATGCAACGATGGAGACAATGGAATATGCGAAGACGGTACCCTTGAAGAAGAAGACGACAGCAACAACCAACCAGAAGATTCCAAAGACTCTATACCCAAACCAAAGAACCCAACACAAAAAGAATTAGACGCATTATTAGCCGGTACCACCAAACAATCATCATCATCATCAAAACAGCGAGAACCACCAAGAGTCTTATATGATTCAACCGGAAATTTACGATATTTCGGTGAAAGTTCCCCCCTTGCATTTTTATTCGAATGTAGAAAAATCTTTAGTGATAGAATTGGAGAACTGGCATTCACATCCAATCAATCCAATGTAGAAATCACCGATATACCCGATGAATCAAGTGATGCTATACAAGTTGAATTACCCACTCGAGATATTTGTGATTATTTGGTGAATATTTTCTTTATGAACATATCTCAAGCATGTTATTTATTCGACATGAACCATTTCGTACTCAATGTTGTTGATTTCGTATATGATAACAAACACCCCGATTCATCCGCCACGTCGCCACCTCCACCTGAGAAAATCGCTTTGTTGTATTTAGTTATCGGACTCGGATTGACATATGCGGAATTATCCCTGGATGATATAATTCAACAAATCCCCAATCCGACAATCATGACCGGTAAGGCATATTTCGAATTCGGAATGTATTTAACCAAAAAACACATGAATAATGGCAGATTATGGATAACTGAAGCTTGTATAATTGCGTTTTATTATTATCAATCGGTCCAACAACGAAACACGGCTTGGTTGATGTTAGGTATGGCAATTAGAAACGCTCAAGCTTTAGGATTACATCGAAAATTCATTAATGAATCATTTCGTGATCAAGGATATATTAGACATAGGAGAAAATTGTTTAAGAGTCTTTATGTGAATGATCGAATTGCGTCGATTTTGGTGGGGAGACCATTGATTATTGATGATTATGATTGGGATGATTTTGATAATGAAGATATTTATGAATATGATACTCTGGGGAAACCGATAAAATATCAACGGATAACTTGTTTGATTGAGGCTACTAAGATTGCAAGACTAAATGGGAAGATTGTCAGGAATTTCTACGTTGATGGGATTTTGAATCCTTATAAAGCGGAGAAACTCGCTATTGAATCAAAAATATTATCACTTAATTTACCACGAAGTATTCAGATTGATCAAGTTGTTGAGAATAATTTAGTTCCCAATACTAATAATGAACAATTGATCAGAGATACCAAGATCCCATTGTTGTTAGTCCATTTGTCTCAACTATATGGAATAGTCCTCCTTTGTCGTCCATTTTTCATGTATTTAGTCTTTCACAAAAAGAAAAAGAAAGCATTTACCAAAAAACCAAAATCTCGTCAAGATATTGCCCTTTGCAATTTCTGTAAAGCAACCGTCAAATCATCATCCCTTGTCATCCAATTAATAGATTATTATATAGGATATATCCGTTTCCTCCCACAACGTGTTGAATCGAATGGAATTATCCATTGCTGTTTAATGGCGGCATTAGTTATCGGATTATCGATATTATATTTTGAATTGAATCAATATACTGAAGAAGAAGGATATCTGGCCCGAAAACAAATGGAATATTTAAATTCAGCAAAAATGGTATTTGAATTCTATTCGAAATCAAATCCAATATCAAAAAGATTTTATATAATTGTGGATGATATGCAAAAAGCATTAATGGAAAGGTTTGAATTGGATTTGAATGGGAATAAATTATCCATGGTCCCACCAACAGCACCTACATTTACAACAACCACAACCAATACTTCCCCAACGACAGCCAACACCTCCGTAACAACTACTATTCCAGAACAACAACCACCGGTTGCACCTCCAATCATCGCCGCCCCAATTCCAACCCAGCCCGTCCAACCCCAATTCGATCCCCTCCTCAAACAACAACCACAACCTAACTTCATCCCACCACCACCACCACCTCATCCAATTCCATTCCATGCAGCCCATGATCAGCACGATTATGTCACGTTCAATGAAGACTACGACAATTTTATCGATTCATTTGGAGCCCTACTCCCTATGGCAACTATGAGTCAGAGCATAAATCCAAAAATCCCCCTCATGATCAATCATCACCACCATCAGCATCATCAATTTCAATCATATTCGAATCCGAATCTGTCGTCATCGCCTACTACTTCGGATTCTAGTCGGGAAGGTCAGATTGTGAATAATGGTGGGAATGGGAGTGGGAATGGATCGGGGACGGTGAAAAGGGAACCGTTGGATATGTTTATGTATAGTGTTGGTGTTAATGATGTGTTATATGATGGACATGTTTAGTTTATAGTCTTTCTGATTTTTTAATAAATTGTAATAAGAAAAGATGATTATTTCTCTAGGAAAGGTCATTATTGTAATTACAGAATAAATAAGTTTTAATAATATTATAAATAAATACAGTTTTTAAATACATAGCCAACAAACAACATCACTATAAAACAACAGAAACAAGTAGGATATATAATTATCTATCCCATTAATCGTGATTCATTTTCATTCAAGAATTTTCTAATTTGTGCCAAACTACCACCCAATTTCTTAAATATACAAACTTTAATATTGAAATCATAAACATAATTCAAAACAATCTCACCAATCTTTAAAATATAAATCGTATTCTCCAAACTCTTATCACTACCAGGTTGTTCACCACCACCAGTACTAGATCCTCCATTGTATAAATGTAAATTAGTAAAATCTTGTTCTAACTTCAAAGCCATACTACTTGCAATAGTGCCAGCACCACCTGCAGCAGCAGCAGCAGCAGTCTGAAGCTTGACCTTAAGATAATTTTCAATCTTTTCTAATAATTTCAAAACCATACTAAATCTTTGATTCAAAGCAAAGATTAAATCGGGATTATTGTTATTGTTGCCAGGAGAATAAGCAGCATGTCCAGTATTATTATATTCATTCTTCTTTAATATATAAATTGAAAAGATTGCCAAGATTGTAAATACATGGAATAACATTTGTGAATGAACTAAATTACTTGAAGAACTAAATTCTTCAATTATTCTTAAATGAATATTCTTTTCAAATATAGCCAAACTATTTTCTTTATTCTCATGTAAATTATTCTCATCAGTGAATAATGCTGAGACTTGTTTATTATCATCATGAATGAAATTTCCATTATTATTATTCAAATATCCAAAATCAGTACTAAATGACGACTTTGTATCCATAGAAGTGTGTTGCAGCTGATGATGATGATCAGGTATATCTTCCGATTTAAATAAAACCAACTTAATAATCATCATACAACAATCAATAATCTTCAAATAATCATAATCATCAATTGGATTAGATGAATTACCAGGACTATTATCAATTAATACTTTATTAAAATTTCTGGTCAATTCTTCAAAATTACGTAACCAACTTTGTTCTTTAACTAATTTAAAATCAATTAATGATGAAATCTTAGTATAACTTGCTAATAAAACATAATCCAATTTTTCAAAATCTTTATGAATTCTTGAATCATTATTAATGGTAGGTAAGAATTTAGCCAATTCATCCAAAATCTTAAATACATCAATCTTTTTCATTTCTTGATATTGCTTTATTTCATATAATCCATGCACCAAACAAATGAAACCATATCTACTTAATTTCGATAATTGATTAATAATCTTTTGTTCAACATCTTGCAGAAGGGTTTTATCAGGATTACCAGCTTTGGTTAAATTCAATAATAAATTCTTAAATATGATAGGTTCACTAGAATTTAAATAATTCAGTAATGTCTTATTATTCTTTTGTCCGAATTCTTGAAATTCTTGATAATTCTTAAAACTCCATAATATTTCATCATCTTGATTCGAAATACATAAATTATTCAAATCATTCAGGGATAAGGTTAATGGAACATTATACATCATCAACAAAAAATTAGTTAATCGATAAATCATAAATACAATTCTCACTTGTGATTGAATATTAATATTATTCTTAAATTTCATTTCATCATTATGATTACATGAAAATAATGACATACCACCAGCATCATCAGAACCACCATGACCACCACCAGAAGAAGACAACTTATTATAAATCTCTTCATCCTCTCCATTAATACTAAACAATATAACCCGATTACTTCTAATACTAGTCTTAACCAATGAATTCAATGCATTCAATTGACGAATCACAATATAGACATTATTCTCATTATCAGAAAACAACCCATAAATAACCGACAAAGTCAATGATTGAATCAACCATAATGGATTCACAGTAGAACTATTATTATCCCCCTTCTCCTTCTTACTCTCATCACTATTACCACCACCAACTGAATTCTTCCGACTTTCCAAATATATATGAATAGTTCTTCTAGAGGCTTCATATAAATGTTCAGCATCATTCTTATTATTGGCCAATAATGCACCCATAGTGGCAATTAATAAAGGTAAACAAACTCGAGCACTTTCATTATTCATATCTTCATTCGAAGTCATATTCATAATTTCATATTCATTTAATTTGGAAATATGTATAAATGGGAAATGACTAAGAAATACTTGGATGAATGTTGTAAGATAAAATTCCAATTTTTCATTTGATGGGATTGTTGGAGTCATAATGCCACTGATTGGATATTTACCTAATGCTTTATTAATCATATGCCTCATATGATTGGTAAACAATTTATTCCGGGAATAATTATTCAATTTCAATCTATTCATCATTGCATGGTCAATATGTTGTGGTTGTGGTTGTGGTTGATGATGTTGTTGCTGTTGATGGAGTTGTTGTTGTTGTTGGGGATGGGGAGATCCATGAATATCAGCTAAATTTCTATTAAAATCAGGACTTCCAAGTTGTTGTTGCATTTGTTGAGACATCAAAATATTCTGACGATCATATCCATTACTTCCATTCTGGGGTGGTTCTGAAATAACACTACCTGGTTTATTCATATCATAATTGTTCATATTAGAAGGTGAAATCAAATTAATAGGTGAATTAGCATCGATGCCAGAAGAACTAGCGGAATGATTATCAACATATAACGAATAACCACCAGGTATAAATTTGGAATTAAAATCAAATCCATGATATAATTCATCAATATCATTAAGAAAAGTTAAATCAAGATCCATGTTATTTCCAGTATCATGGTTCTTTAATTTCTGTACTTCAGCCACAGGAGATTCAGATTCTTGTTTGATTGGAGTTAATGTTCTAAAACCTTGTATGGGATGGGTAAGTGGTGGTTCGGAAGGTAATAAATGTTCAGGAACGTCATAAAATGAATATCCGAAATCACTATAATCTTCAGTCTTGATATTTGAATCTTGTTGTCCAAGCGTTATTGGATGATTTGGTGAGGCGATATGCAGTATTGGAGTGCGACCCATTGATTGTTGATGTTGTTGATGCTGTTGCTGTTGTTGTACTTGAAGTTGATGTAATGGCGGTACTTGTTGTGGGTGTTCCTGTTGGTTCATGGCATTTTGAATTTGATTTGCAATTGCTGCACCTGGCATTATAAACGATGCATCAAAATTAACACTGTGTACACTTGTTGATCGTTCAGAACCAAGTTGATTTGATGCGAAATTTGCAGCATTTGTGAATGATTGTTGTTGTTGATTACCAAATTGTTGATTATTCATCATTGAATTAGAATTGTCTGATAAGCCTGGAATAGAAGATAAACTACCTAACCAATTCATTTCATCATTAAAAGCAGTTGGACCTAATTGAGGAGTCGAAAATTGAACATTTTCGGTATTTGGATAATTCTCAGTAAATTCAGGTTCACGGGCAGCATAATTTGGACCAGATTGTGCTGAAAATGAAGCACCTCTTCTCATTTTAACTCCAGAAATCCCTCTCTTGACAGCTTGTCTTTGTAATGGTGCAGCTAATGAATTCTTTCTAGTTGAATTAGTAGTAGAAGTATTTGAACCCCGTTTACTTGTTCCTATCATAGAACTTCTTTTAGAACTAGACTTAGTAATCTTTGATTTTGAAGTATTTACATCAGGACTAGTATCAAAAAGATTCAAATTAAACTCCACTGGATCATTATTTTTGGCTCTGGCTATAGGTGTAGTTTCACCAGAATCATCATCTCCCATGTCTGCATCATCATCTTGACCCAGTTGAGAACGTTTAATTGACTTTCTTCTTAATCTAGTTATTGCATCTGAACAACCTGCATGTAATTTCTGAGCATGTCTTAATAATAAATCACGACGACTGAATTTACGTTGACATACTCCACAACTGAATGGTTTTTCTTTGGTATGTGATCTTTCATGTCTTCGTAGATGTTCCAAACGAGCAAATGCTCTTGTGCAAACTTGACATACAAATAAACGTGGTTTACCTGATGGTGTTGTACCATACGCTGTTAATTCCAATGGAATATTCTTTTGTTTCTTGCCAGTGGTGGTAGTTGCTTTAGGACCGGTAGTTGTTGTTGTTGAGTTTGACGGATTGGAGCTAGATCCGATCGGAGTTGAGACTTTTTCATGAGAATGCTCCGCCATAGATAGTGATGTACTCAATAATGAAGTATCTGTTATACCTCCAGGGTTTGCTGTATTATAATTCATATGAAATGTTGGGTATTGAGCTTGAGAAATCATTCATTAATTTATATTTATGTATATATTATTGTTTCGTTGTCTGTACTTGACGTAGTTCCTAAAGTCAAAAAAAGTATGTTGAAACTTATCTTTTTCACTTTATCCATATATTAGTTAATTAGTTAATTAAATTAATTGTTCCCTTTTTCTTGGTTCAGTTCCACAATATTGTATTTGTAGTATATAAAAACAAGGGGGAAACTCTATTGATTTTTCTGTGTTGAATGTGGGGGGGATGGGGAATGGGAGATTGAAGTTGAAGTCTCCTTAAGAAATAACAATAGTTAACACTTCAAGTGTTTATAAAATGAATGATTGAATGGGTTTTATCTCTTTAGAAATATTAATCAAGTGATTTTCTAAAACTAAAAAAAATCTCGATATTCGTTTCTTTCTTTCTTTAAAAAAAAAAAAATGACTGATGATTCTTTTTTAAAAGACAGACAAAAAAATTCTAACCGTGTTGTTCGTGTACTTTGAATCAAAAAAAAAAGTTGAATTTGAATTGAATTGAATGTAAAGTTAAATTGTTATGCGTGTACCAGCTTACAAAAAATAATTTATTATTTTATAATAAAATTTGTGTCTGTTTTAAAAATAAATTTTAATAATAATGTGGGGGGGACGAAGAAAAAAAAAAACTAATTTGGTTTGCTATTTTTCTTCTTCTTTCAGAGTCTCTCAATGGAAAATCTTTTTCTCTCTCTCAGTGTAAAGAAAAAAAAAAGGGGTGGCGATTTTTGTGGAGTGTAAAAACTTTCAATCAAAATAGTTTTGTGTGTCTGTTTCAAATGCAAATAAAAAACAAATGGATGGAGTATGTGGTGTGTGTCTGTGGCGTAGGCTATCTCTATCTATCTAGATTGATTGATTGATTTCAAAAAAGTAATTGGTAGTTGATTTTCCAATGAGGAAGGAAGTAAGTAAGTAAATTATCCTTTGATGAGTAAAATTTTTTTTATACTCAATTGGAAAGAAAGAAAGAAAAGGACCAAAAAAATGAAGTTCTGGAAAAAAAAAAAATCTCTTTCCTTTTAAAAAGGGGAGGAGGGGGTGGAGCACTAGCGACAGGATTAAAATAAATCAGACAGAAAAAAAACTCTCTCTCTTGAACTTTCTATGTTTCTCTTTCTTTCTCTTTCTCTTAACAATAATATTATTTTATGATTTAAAGTTTTTTAAAATATTGATTTTCTAATTACGGGTTTGTTGGGTGTTGTCTTTTTTTTTTTTGGTTGTTTATTTTTAACTGAGTAATTTGTTGAACCCCTAAAATTAACACTTGATCTGTCAAAAGTAGTAACAATAAACGTGTGATTCGTCAATCTTAAGTTATGTAAGTCAATCTAGACTAGTGGAAATTGAATAGCGTTCTTTTGAAGGTATTTGTCTTATGTACAAAAGTATGTGAAGGTACAAGAAAGTAAGGTTTTAGTATATGCGTAATTTGTGTCTGAAAATTAACCGAAGTCCCAAAAAAAAAAAATGTCGCGGGAAAACTCCGATAAGCAAGTTAATCTCGTATAAACCTGTCGTATAGGATATGATTATTAAGTATCAGAACAGATTGGAGCCTTTGCTGGTTGTTGATGTCAAATTTATCGTCTCTGGTATGTAGTTTCTAAACCAATTGGATAACCTCCTTTAACTATCAGCAATTGAAATTGATTAGAAGTTAAAATATGTAAATCTGTTTCAGCAATTGATTTTTAAGGTTCAACTTTAAAATTTTGGAAATTGTTGCAAAACTTTCTAAAAACCTTTTAAGCAAATCAAAAACAAGCACCAGCAAAAGTAAAACAAATTAACAACGTATGTAATGGAAGAGACGGTAGTTACCTTTCAATGATTCTTCAATTAGCACTTCAAAGTATATGATTGATTGAATAATGATATGAAGAATAAGAACATTAAAGAGTAAAAAGTCAAATTTTTACAACCAAACCAAATCACTTTTGGCTGCCAGAAAAGAAAAATTAATGGCGAAGAACATTCATTGCAAATCCTGATAAGAGAGGCCTACTACAGAAATACTCTGATTGCCATGAATCTGACACTAACGCCATACATATCAATTTCTCTACTTGCAACCCATCCTTACTAATTGAAAACTCCTGACCATCGTATGCCCTCGCTTACTATCGTAGTCCAGGCTTTTTGTGTATAAAGGAAAAAGATGTTTGATTTCCAGCTTTATGTTTACCAAAAATGTCTGTAAGCGCAATTAAAACAGCACTCTCTCACGAGTCACAACCACCAAAGACAAAACCCTGATAAATGTGGGGTAAGGACACAAAATTGAAATACGTCACACAAAAAAAAGTGTCTGAAAATTTGAGACTTACCCCACTGCCAGTTTGTCATATAGAAATTCAACTCCGACTCCGAAAACTTCTTTTACGAGCTAAGGGAAATTTAAAATCATTACCTAACTCTATAAAAACACTTTGACATATTACAAAAGGGTGTTGTTACAGTTTATATGTCAAAATTGATATTTTAGTTTATGCTATGACATACATTAAGAGAAATAATCAAACATTTTGAAAGAGTCATTCTATTATCTTTCTGTACGTGTCTGTCTGTCTGATTGATATTTGTCTGATACCATAAAAATTTAAAAGGATAAATAAATCCAAGAAATTTATTTATTTCTTAACCAAAAAAAAAGCTTAATCCCATTAAAGTAATAACAAATTCGTTTTTTTTATTCAAGGAGTTATACATTACTCGGAGATGTAAAAAGCTGGGGGATTAGAAGATCACCCCTCTCTTATGCCCCCCCCTCCCCCAGATAAATTCAAGAAGTTGAAAGATGAGCGAAGATGAGCAATTGATGAGCATCAACGAAACCTTCGCGGTATGGAATAGCCGCGCCATTTCTTCAAGTCACTCATTTTCAAAAAGAATAAGCTAACTACAAACACCGGGCTTCGTTCCATTTAATTGATAATTAGCCAGCATAAAAACCATAAATGACCCCAAAGAGAATTGATTAAACTCCCGTATCAGGGATATCTAACTTGTTTTTCTTAATTGTCTTCGGACTTTAGGAATATGGTCGAGTAACTATTGTAATGAAAATGCATCTGCTCCTGTGATACGAATTAGACTTGATGATCATCGAAGGTCTCGATTACCGAACGGAACAACTCCTCTTCCTCGTCTATATTCATGGCAAATGAAACATGATATCTTTATGAGATAATGTCAATCTAGAGCCAAGAAACTTAATCAGCTATAGTCTAAAACCTTAGACCTTAAAAAAGGGATCAATAAACGCACAAAACCACCGATACGGTTAATATCACTGCAACAAATTAACCTAATCAATGATTGGTTAGTTGAGCTTGTCGAACTCTATTCATTGTAAATTTTTTTGCAACCAGGTGCTCAAATATTCTCATAAACTCTCATAAATTGAAGTTGACTTTCTATTCCTTTGAAGTGAGAAGAGCTTGCAATTTTATTCGATATTTATTGCCTTTCGAGATAAAGAAGAATACATCTCATCTGACTATATACAATATAATTATTACCTAGTAATAACTATTACAGTTGAAAACAGGTAAGTTACCAGAAGTCCCATATTTGTCGGAAGTACGCGACTAGTCACGTGACAATCGACAATTTTTTTTTTCTTTTCTTTTTTTCTTCCCTCTTCTAAAAATTAATAATCAATTTGATCAACCACAATTCCTATTCTCTTTAACAAATCTAGACATACATATACATTAACACCAAGGACATTTCACTATGGCAGTCATTGAAATCGAATCAGAAGAGCAGTTCACCGAATTAACCAAATCAGATCCATCTAAATTAATCGCCCTTTATTTCCATACTCCATGGGCAGCACCTTGTAAAACCATGAATAGTGTTTTTAAAACATTAGCAGAATCAAAAGCCACCGATCCATCCGTTTTATTTCTTTCGATAAATGCTGATGAATTGGCCGAAATAAGTGAATTATTCGAAGTGAGTGCAGTTCCATATTTTATCCTAATTAGAAATTCAACCATATTGAAGGAATTATCAGGTGCTGATCCAAAAGAATTCATTCAAGCTTTGAATCAATTTTCAAATAGTTCCCCAGCAGCCGCTCAAACTACAAATATACCACCACAACCTACTGCACAACAACAACTGGCAGCACCGGTAGGTTCCACACCTGCTGAAGAATCAGAAGAAGCACTTAATGAACGACTCAAGAAATTGACCAGTGCGGCTCCAATAATGTTATTCATGAAAGGATCCCCCTCGGCTCCACAATGTGGATTTTCAAGACAATTAGTGGCAATTTTGAGAGAACATCAAGTTAGATTTGGATTTTTTGATATTTTGAAGGATGATAATGTAAGACAAGGATTGAAGGCATTTAGTGATTGGCCAACATTCCCACAATTATATATTAATGGAGAATTCCAAGGGGGGTTGGATATTATTAAGGAAAGCATTGAAGAGGATGAACATTTCTTTGAACATGCGCTTGAAACCACTGCTTAGGGGGAATCAGTGAATCTACGAATATATAATTTATGTGTGTGAGTGAGTTATTTATCTAGTGTAATTAATCTATAGAAATATTTGTATTATCATATTCGTCCTTGGGAGATTAGGATATCCAATTCAGGATCAGACAGGAATCCGTCTTCATCTGTATCAACATTCTTCTCTGCCTCGGAGTCTTCAATTGGATCACTCAAATATCCTTCATCTCCAATATCATCACCATCATTGTCACCTCGCATCTCTTGATTAATCTTCTCGGCAACATCAGCCTGAAATTGATCATATTCATACATGATCCCCCCGCCCCGCCCATTCTCATTATGATTCTCAAAGATAGGCAAATCTTCATCGGCATATATCTCACAAAATCTCCCCCCTAATCGTCCATATCTCAATTTCTTAGGATATTTCCGATTATTTATCATCGGTAAATAATATCCATCAATAAGATTCAAATCGGAGAATGATACTTTGGGAGCAATATATTTCTGATATGATTTTATTTGTGACATGGTTTTACGTTCCATTCTTATCATTTTGAAATGTCTTGGAAATTTGATTTTTGATTTATATGTAGAATGAACATTATTGGTTGTTGTTGGGGTCTTACGGAGATTGATCCTAGTTGATCTGATTCCAATTTCTTGTAGTTGTGGCGTGGACATATCTGATAAACTCAAGTCATTGACTATATTACTGGCGATTTCGATTGGATAGTTTGAATCACGAAATATATGATAGTTTTCTAATAAGGATAGATTGAGTAGTGGAAGATTGGTGGGGAATTGAGATAGGACTTGTTCTACAGAATAGAAATCAGCATTATCTTGAGACAAACTGGCAAAATTTGATGAAGAATAGATGATTTTCCCAATTGCATAAAATAGATTTATCTGATTTTCTCGTATAAAATTAGGCAGAAGATTAATTGTTTCGCCCCCGTCTATTTCTTGTTCAGCTAATGTGAATATTGTCCACATTTGGAGATTAAATATCATAGATCGTATATCTCCAACCTTATACATTTCATCCAAAAATGCATTAAGTTTAGTCTTTGGTATTTGCCTGAAAACCTCATCCTCCAATTTGATTATTCTATTCACCGTCTTTTTTAAAAACATAGTAGCAATTGAATTAAACTTAATAATCTCCACTTGTGGTAATTGACTCAATTCCTTTCCCAATAAAGTATCCACCGTCAAATTATTCTCGATATTAAACCACATCACTTGATCCCCTCCTTCATTATATTCAATCTCACTCAAACAAATCACTAATGGCGGCAATTCTCCTTCATAATATATCCAATTCATCAATGCATGACGAAATTTCATCAAAGTATCATGATGGTACACATTTGGTAATTCTTCAAAGAGGACTACACTTAAATTAGACCCAATCTTATATCTACAATCATTTAAGAACTCATCCACATTATAATTCTCAAAATATTCAATTACCGGATCCTGAAATATTGAACTTGTCGGTATTAATTCCTTTGCTAGAAGCTTTATGGTTGTTGATTTAGAACTACCTGAAGGACCAGTTAGGATTAGAATTCGTGACTTCAGTGTACCCTTTATCATTGCCGATAGGGAAGATTTGACTTGGGAGAGTTTAGTTGGATTGATGCATATATCTCTTGTATTTAGGGGCGCGTATTTGTCTACCCATTGGATTGCTGATGTTGATGGTGGTGGTTGTGTTGATTTGATGGGGGATGGTTGTTGCTTAATAGGTGATTGTTGTTTTCTTGGACTAAGATATACTTCTTCATCAGTATCATCTTCTATTTCTTCAAATGACGATTCTATTATTGTATATTTTGGTTTCTTTCTTTTTGGTGACATTTATCTCATCTTTGATATAAAATTATTCAAATTCAAATCATAAAAGAAAATTCAAAATTTAAATTAAATGGTTGAAAATTCAATAAATTTGTGCGAACGATTTTTTTGGGAATTTTTAGTTGCAAAAAAACAAAATCTGGAACCAGATTGTCCCGATTATAACTGAAGGAATTATTAAACCCTATTGCATTTTAGCTAATCTCACGCAAGCACCCCCACCCTTTGTTATCATTGGAGCAATTACATAAGACACATAAGAAATTTGTGTATGGTGAGAGTAGAATTCTTATGACTAGAAGGAATGAAAAATGGCCCCGAATCAGTAATAGTCTTGAACAACCAGTGAGGTCATAGATTGACCTTAGAGCAGTTCTGATTGATCGGGGAGATATCAATATACAGTATAAAGTAACAGTGGGATGGCGAGGAGTTTTCTATTGAGTCGATGACTTAGATAATGAGGCAAGTTTAATTCCAGCACGCTAGCTCTAAAACTTTCAGCGTTTCTCATTACTAACTAAAGTATGTTACAACAGGGTGATTCGAGCAGAACCTCCTACCTAAAACTGTTCTTAATCAACACCATCAGCTACAAATTTACTTAATGTATTACTTGTAGGGTATGACAATATCCTAATAAATGATCAGAATGGATTAAGTATATCAAATAATAATAGATCTATCAATTAAATCTCGAGTCGGCGGCCGCCCATGAAATGAACTCTGCCTGGATGTCACCAGAAATATAAAAAGCGTACATTTCTCCGGAAATAAGAATCGTTTCTAATCGAACTAAGATGCATGATACATTGTACTGTTACCAAAATGGCATTTGGCACACTGATCACACTAAATATTCCAGAAAATCAAATTATTATTTACTAAAATATATTCCTTTAAAAAAATATCAAAAATGGTTGATGGACATCGCCGCCCCTGATTGAGTGAGATCTACAGGTGATAATGATTGATTTGACAACCTCGGTTTGTCCATTATTCAAGAATCCAAAACTCAATCCCATGAGATATTTCTCATTATCAATTTAGATTATCTGGGAATTTCCTTCAGATCTCTTTGGGACCTGAATTATCAATTCGTACGTATACATATAAATGTGCTCATGCTGGTAATACGAAAGTAATAAAATAATTATATCCATGTCATTGTCTCATGAATAAGTATCTTACAAATATTATTTATTCAACGAAAAATTATTTTTATTGATTTATATTTTTTTTCCAGTTTAAATTAATTTATTATTTATGATTTCTTTATTTTATCAGATTGATGACCATGACAGATCATCCCATGTAAACAAATGATTTAAATAATAAAAATATAAATTTCCTGTGATGGTTAGGAACTGACAAGAATAGTCTTATACCACTCGTCCAGTACTCCACGTCTCCAAATCCCCCCCCTTGATGAGAAAAAGATTGATGTTCTTTCAGCTGTTGTTAAATTCTTTTTTTTGCATTTAAATTAAAATTGATTTTTGAATTGTTCAGGTTTTTCTTTTCTTTTTTTGCATTTCGGATTGAACAATTTATATTTATTTATTTATTTATATTTCTTATAAATAAATTTTTATTTATGTTTTTCAACTAATGATGTTATTTTAAATCAAACTTTATAGACTAGTGGTTTATTTAGTCAAACAACCAACGATACATTATGGGGTATTAATTAAGCCTGTTCTTGATTGTGTCAACAACTCCCAAATCCAATCAAAACCTTTCATATTTCCTAAAATGATGGGCCACTATTTCTTGTTTACTCAAGATGATGACTTGGTACATCATTAATTTATTAATAATAATAATATTTCATTTTACGAAAATATGATGACTTTTGTTAAAAAAAAAATATATAAAATTAGATTGACTTTTTTATTTATGTAGTTACACTCTCTCTCTTTATTTAAACTTTTTATTTTCTTTAACTTCTTTTTTTTTTTGCAGCCCAATTTAATTTTATAACTCATCAGCATCATCAACATCATCAGATCATACCAGATGAACGGCATTCTCTTCTTGCATAAACAGTGCCGTATTGATTTTTTTGGTGTTCAGAAAGACAAAAGTCTTCAAGGGTTTGAGAGATAACTGTTTTTAAACTTATTATAAATACACTGGTAATACTAGAAATTTATCAATTCTCTTTCGACTAATTTTTTTTTTTTGGTAATTACTACTATTATTCAAGATAGCAATTTTTTCTCGGAATGCATAATTATTTACTTTTGCTATTACCACTACTATTATTCGATTCATTTTCAAATTGCCTAGATGTGGTGGGGGAACTTATTCTTAGAGGAGATCCGCAATTTGCTCCGAGATACTGGATTGCAGGTACATTGTCCATTGTCGATGTTTACGAAAGCAAAATTCGTCTTGCGATTATTGATGTTGAGAGAAGTGGAAAATTCTTCTTTTCTACCTCATTTCCGGACTACACTTATAATCTTCAAGAAATTCAATTTGAAAATGTTGTGAACTTTGGAACTTTCCGCTTCGACTGTCGTAATTATAGAATCAAGAATTTCCTTTTTCCATTCTTTGTAAACGATGGTGATATGGCACTTGTTAGCAATTTTCTGTTTCTGACAATGACTACCGAATTGTTCGCGAATTGGGGAAGTATATTTCTTGAGAATTTTGACCTACGCGTCGATTCTTTTGAAAACCATGGAGAAATCTGTCTCGTATCCGACAGCAAGTTAGAAATCTACGACCAATACCCCCAAGAAAAAGGAGATGGATGCATTAGTATGTCTCAGGGAAACATAATTACGGTTCCAGGAGATATACATTCCAGCTTTTGCTTTCCAACGGGTGGGAAAAATTCACTCCTTCGTGTTACTTCACAGACTGGCTATGGCTATCCTATTCGATTGGCAAAGTTTGGTGGAACTGAAAATTCCTTGAGTCTTATTGGTTTACTGAAAACTTCAAAACTCATCTACATTGCTCCATATTTAAAAATTGTGGATGAGAATCTGATAACCTTTACCTTTGACATAGGAAAAGGATATCTTCAGAATAAGTTTCAGAAGGACTACTTTCTTGACTTTGTTGAAACTTACATTGTATACAACGGCCCTGTTCCAGGTGAGGCTAATGTCTGTCGCTGCAAATGCAAGTTCACAAGTTATACTGTCCCAGGTACGATACCCACAATTTCAACTCAGACATCGTCTGACCGTACTCGAACACTTACAATTACCACCACTGATTATAGGTGGACCACAATTGTTGATCCAGATCCGGATCCATCAACGTCAGAAATAGAATCAACTACCTTAGATCCAGATCCAACTACGTCCGAAGAAGGATCCACTTCGTCAGAACCGGAATCAACTACTTCCGAACCTGAGTTAACTACTTCAGAGATTGAATCGACTGCTTCAGAAGATAAATCAACTAGACCAGAACCAGAGACCACTACGTCCGAAGAAGAATCGACTATTTCGGAGATAGAACAGACTTCTTCAGAAGATGACTCAACTACATCACAGCCAGAGACGACTACTTCAGAATCGGAATCAACTACTTCCGAACCTGAGTTAACTACTTCAGAGATTGAATCGACTGCTTCAGAAGATAAATCAACTAGACCAGAACCAGAGACCACTACGTCCGAAGAAGAATCGACTATTTCGGAGATAGAACAGACTTCTTCAGAAGATGACTCAACTACATCACAGCCAGAGACGACTACTTCAGAATCGGAATCAACTACTTCCGAACCTGAGTTAACTACTTCAGAGATTGAATCGACTGCTTCAGAAGATAAATCAACTAGACCAGAACCAGAGACCACTACGTCCGAAGAAGAATCGACTATTTCGGAGATAGAACAGACTTCTTCAGAAGATGACTCAACTACATCACAGCCAGAGACGACTACTTCAGAATCGGAATCAACTACTTCCGAACCTGAGTTAACTACTTCAGAGATTGAATCGACTGCTTCAGAAAATGAATCAACTACATCACAACCGGAAGCAACGACTTCCGAATCCAGGTTAACTTCTTCAGAGATAGAATCAACTACTTCAGAAACCGAACCAGCCACTTCAGAAAACGAATCCGCTACTCTGGATCCAGACTCAACTATCTCAAAATCAGATTCAAAAACTTCAGAAGTAGAATCCACAAGCACTGAACAAGATACCACTAGTACCGAACCAGATTCAATTATTTCAGAACCTGTATTATCATCGGAGACAGAAGAAACGAGTTCAGACACAACAACCCACTCATCAATGGATCCTGATCCTTCCGACTTTACCAACTCAAAAACTGATTCCGAATCAAGCACAATTCTGCAGACGGACTTTTCCTCCTTTACAGATCCAGGAACAACAGGACTCGAGTCTCGTGATAGCGAATCAACAACAAGTCTGATATATTCTACTTCCTCGGACCCAGACCCGGTTGAATCCGATTCATCGTCGAATCCCGTGTTCACCAGTAGTGAAGGACCAGAAACAGCACCGGACTATTCAATACTTAGTGAAACTAGTAACACCACCATTGATGAATCTAGTACCCCGCAAGAATCAATCAACAGTTCTAAGCTGGAATCTAGCACCACAAATCCTCATCCTGAACCTAGTACTTCTGATCACCTGGACTCGCCTCTGACGACAAATCCTAGTAGTGTTTCGGAATCTTCAACAAGTACTTCGTCTGTAACAAAAAGTACAATTCCAGTTACACAAACGATTACAGAGACCATTCTTTCCACAACACCTCGTGAAACTACCTCTGAAAATCCTGTCCCTACTAGTTCCTTTATTAGTGTAATAACAACCACGATTGATGGGACATTGACTACCGTCACTGGCACGATCACAGGGAGAATTCCTATCCCAGCAGAATCGGGTCCTAGTTTGGGAACTACTATCATTGATGGTACACTTACTTCTATGGCTCTACCTGCTTCCAAGACAGCAGTACAACATACTCCATATCAAACAGTAGTGAGAACGGCAATTGATGGTCAGGTATCAGATGTGACAATGACGATTTTGGGAAGTACAATACCTAAAACAGACGGGTATGCAACAAGCTACACACAAGGTGATACAACAATTCCCGCTGGCTCACAGATAACAGTTGAAACACTGGAGGTTACAGTTTTGTCTGTTGAAGGTTCCGGCTCTAAAGTGTTTGGTAGTGGTATGTCTCTCTTAGGAGCAGTAATTTTTTTGACTAATATTTTTATTTAGTTTGAAATAAATATCCCAATAAATAGATAGCACGTAATAGAAATTTCAAATTAATTAAGTAGTTATCGCTTAAATCCCGAAATGACAGCTCACATTAAATGGTTTCTAGATGGATCTGGCAAACACAAATGTCGGGAGGACATAAAGACGTAGATTATCCTGATACTAATAAATTTTTTCAATGCAACTAAGTTGCCTGATACATCGTACTGTTGTCGAATGGCATTCGAGACAGATGACCCATAGAGATTCAAGAAAACTAACTTTTATTTACTAAAACATATTCATTAAAAAAAATATCAATGATGTTCGAAGGGCATCGCATGTCATCCCTGAAGGCAAGCTTGATTTTGACCTATGTCAGGCGTCGACAATACAATCCAATGAAATAAGCATTTATAAGTTTTTTTTATCCGAGTTGTGATTCAAGAAGGATCGGCAAGGGAAGTTTGCATAATAAGAGACTTAGGCATTTGTTCATTTAATTTTTTTTTGTTTTGTTTCTACAAACTAACCGGGCATTTACTGATATATATGCTATATAAAAAAGGTTATATACAATACCGTCAAAGTAGCTTACCAAAAAGATTGTACATAAAATTTAAAAGAAGTTAAAATCCTTAAGTCGAGAAGACCACTGGCTCGGTAAAATATTTTATTGCTCGCCTATTATTATTTTTTGCAAAAAAAAAAAAAGAAATCATTGCCTAACAAATGTGCCCGGAAAAAATCTTAATTTCGGAACAATTAAAAAAAATTATTTCTTTTGCCAAGCATCTATATTTAGATCTGTTGATCAGGTCAATCCAGTCTTAACCCGTGGTTTCCGACCCAAATATTGATCATCAGTATTGATAGTAATATAAATGACATTGAATGTATGGGATCCCCTAGCTATTCATCTCAGCGATATCCATGAGCCTTACAGATAATGAAGGTGTTACTTTAACTGACAATATGGCATAAAATATGGGCCAACACATTCTTTTTTTACACAGAACATTTATTTTTTAACATTTCAAAAAGACACATTTTAAACTAAGAAATTTAGTGAATTATTTTGCTGCAAAATTATTTTTTATTTTTAGCAACATCATCCGTTCAACCATTAATTGTAATTTATATTATTATTATGACATTTTCGGAATGTCATGGCAACTTATTATAAATACACCCGCAATACCGAAATTTTCTCAACTATCTTTCATCTATTTTTCACTACCACAATAAAGCCAATCCCAAATTTTATTTCACAATGTTTAATTTTTTACTTTTGCTATTACCACTATTATTATTCGACTCACTTACAGTGAGCAGGGAAGTCATTCTTAGAGGAGCAACAGAAATCGATCGAAATTACGATGTCACTGATATAACGTCCCTCGTTGATATCTATCTAGATCAATTTGACATCGATTGCCTTACAATCTTTGATGGAGGACGATTCTTCTACGTTTCAACAATTCCTGGTGTTCATAACGCAACTTCGTTAAGTATTTCAGATATCGCGAATCTAGGAACTTGCCACATCGACCTTTCTGTCGGTCAAAACCATTTTGACTCAGTTAAATTTAATCGTATAGCCAATTATAATACCACTATCCTTAAGGGTATTCAAACAACTGACCCTATACAAGTCAACAATCTCCAGAATTCCGCCAATGGTCGTCTATATATTGAAAATACAGATTTGACAGTAGTTAACCAATTGTACAACTCAGGGACAATCTGCCTTGGACCCGAGCTGTCACTCACGATTGAAACCGATGACTATACGAGTCTCCAAAAAGGATGGATCAAGCTATCACCAAGGAGCATTGTTACTGTACCGGGAGATATACTTTCAAATTTTTGCTTTCCAGAAGAGAACGGTTATCTTTCGGTCACATCAAGTATTCCTGATTACATTACCTTAACCAATTTTTTTGGTAAAACCAATAAGATCCTTCTCAATGAATCTTCGATAATTACCGAAGGATCACTTATCTACGATGAACCATATTTAAAGCTTATATTGAGCGGTCACATGACCTATTTGTTTAATATCGGAAAAGGGTATAATCCACTCAGATTCGTTATGGCACATGTATTGGGTGGGTTCGAGATTTACTACGACCGTGAAGCAGAAGGGGCACTTCCCTGTCCCTGTGATTGTAAGATGCCTACATATACTGTACCAGGTGCGACTCCCACATTCTCAACTCAAATACTTCAAATCACGACTACCAACAATCATTGGACCACAATAACTCAAGAAGATGGGACCAAAGTGACTCATTTGGCAACTTCTGCAGCAGAAACTAGCTTGGAGCCAGTGCCAACTACTGGTAGAACCTAAAATCATAAATAGTTTTATAATGATTATTAGGATGTATTTCTAAGTTTGAGATCAAAATTATTCATATATATATATAGTCATTGATAGCTTTTTGTAAGTACATTATCTAGAGTACATGCAAAAGTAACTAATTGCATTTTTTTTCCAACCCTCCGTATGTGGTAGTGTCGAAGTAAGTACAATAACTGCTTTATTAACTAATTGAATAACCAATTGTACTCACTTCAGAGAGATTAATGTGCAAGGAACTAGAATAGCGCGGTTGCATTTTCGGAGTGCACATCCTTCTTTTTACCCTTCTGAGAAATGTGGGTTTCTTAATCTAATCACTGGAGATGATGAGGAGGTGCCAGGCTAAAGAAAAACCTGGGAATCTAGAGGTTTATAGTGAATTAAATAACTGAACCATCGGCGTGTTTTATATGCAGTATATTCTGAATAGTCAGTATTATTAAAATTGAGACCAGAAACATCTACAAATAAGTTGGAGATGTGTGATTAACATAATTTACTGGTATAAACCATAATATAATGCCTTGTTCACTTATTGTGTTCATCGTTATCCTTAAATATATATGACTATTTATAATTCAACTTTATGGACACTGTCCACCTTGTGTTTCAGAACGGTACGACGATACACTTGTGTTCGGTTGAGTTTAGGCCTAGCTTCGTCTGTCCCATCTTCGTCATACCGTGTCTGAGCTGACTTGGATAAATATCTGTGGGCTTTCCCCTTCCTCGAATTGGAATCAGGAATGGATGAACAAGAGTCCTTCTACGGTTCTCTCCGCCGTTCTCGACAATGACGACTTCTTAGCTTGCATATAAAGAACTATGTTCACCTCCCGTATTGCAATACATAATCTCTCAGTTCCTCTGCGAACAGAGAACAGGTGCCATCAAATATGCTTAGCATCCATTCCGGCCAAATGTGGCTTCCTTCTTAGGGTCTTTACCCTTGGGTAATGTCTCAAACATCGACTAACAAAAGATGCAGCTGGAAATATTTTTTAAAGTAAAAAATCTAATGAATTATTTTTTGTGTATTATTTTTTTTTATTTTTGCATTTATTTTTTGCAACATCATCCATGAATCGTAATTAATATAAACTATTATTTTGACTTTCTAACCACAGTAGGTCACGGTCAGAAATTAACGGTCATCCATACGTAAAGTAGTACTCGCATTTATCAACTGTTTTGCAACTATTTTGTCATTTATTTCAAGCAATCTGTGATATAAACCTATATGAGCGGTTCGGTTCCAATACAATCCAATAGGCCCTGTTTCAAAAAGTGTGTAAGTCTCATTGGTGTTACATCTTCCTAACTCCCTTTGTTGTAGATGTAACATCCGATGGTTTGGGAGTATTCTCGTCCGCCGTGTTATCACGCTGGTAGCCTCCGACAACGGCTGATGTCGTGTTATCCGAGAGTTGGTGGTTAAGCTCTGTAAGTCTCGATATCGATATAAATAGTCCTTTTTATTCCCTTTATTTGTTTTAGTCTTTGCATATCTTTTTATCAATCAGCATTAATCATTTTATTTACATAAGATAGTCTTTAATCTGATACAATCCAAGAAAAACATTTTGCTCAGAATGTTCAATTATTTACTGTTGTTTGTGCCTCTATTATTACTCGATTCATCGGTGGTGAGCACGGAAGTTATTCCTAGAGGAGAAGAAACTCAAATTCAAGAAAACTACTATGTCAGTGATGCAATGCTGCTCCTTGATGTCTATACTGATTACGTCGACATCAATCGCATTAGAGTCTTTGACGGAGGACAATTCTTCTACGTTTCAACAATACCTGGTATTCATATGGCAACTTCGTTCAATATTTCAGAACTCGCAAATCTCTCAAATCAAGGCATTTGCTATTTCGACCTTTCTGCCAGTGAAAGCCGGTTCCAGTCAGCTTACATTAATCGTATAATTAACATTGGAACCATGGTATTTAAGGATTTTCATACAACATGTCCTATGAAAGTCGATGACCTCCATAATGGTGCCAATGGACTGACATATATTGAAAATACCAACTTGAAAGTAATTGAACAATTTTCCAACTTAGGGACAATCTGCCTTGGACCCAAGTTATCGCTCGCGGTTGAAAACGGTGCCCCGATTAAGACCACAAAAGGGTGGATCAAATTATCACCGGGGAACATTGTTACTGTCCCAGGAGATATCCTGTCAAATTTTTGCTTTCCTCAGGAAAATGGTTATCTTGAAATTACCTCAAGTAGTGGTTCTGATACCATAACGTTGACAAATTTTTTTGGTCAAAGCAATAAGATCTTCCTTATAGACTCTGAAAACTACTCTTCGAAAGGATCACTCGTCTACACCGACCCATATTTAAAAATTACATTGGATGGGAAGTCAGTCTATCGCTTTAATATAGGAAAGGGGTATGCTTCACAAAGATTCGTTATGATTCATATAGACGGCGGGTATGAGATTTTCTACGATTATCATGTCGATAAGCCACTGCCCTGTCCCTGTGATTGTACGATGCCAACATATAGTAATTAATGAATATGCGACGACTTCAGAAGCAGAAACTAGCTCAGAGCCAGAGCTAAATACTACGATACCGTAGAACCATGAATAGTTTTATAATTATTATTGAGATTGATTTCTAGGTTGGAGATAAAACTTATGCATAATATATAAATTTTTATAGTCATTTATATCTTTTCGTAAGCACAAAATCTAAATTAAAAGTATAGTCTTTTTTGTAACCCTCTTTATCCGATAGTAGATGCAAATGCAGTATCGTCTTTATCATTTAATAGCCAATTATACTTATTTAAGAGATCAATTATCTGCATTTTCCATCCATTATTCTGTATTACATTGGTAGTGGTCCCCTTAATACGATGGCCACTCCAAGTACTATAACTTGGTGAAGAAATAGCCTTGTTAGTTCATTTGCCATGTTTTTTTTTTAACCTAATCAGTTAAGATGAGGTGATGTCAGACTAAAGAAAATCCTCGGCATCTAAAGTATAGTAGTATGGTCTAAAAACTGAACTATTGCTGTATCTTATATGCATATCAACTTTTAGTTTAGTGAATTTTATTTTTTTTGCAATTTTATTTTTATTAATTTTTATTTTTTGCAACATCTTAACCTGAATGATCAACTCGATCA